CCAGTTTATATATGGTGCATTAAAGTCGCCTACTACAAGGCTTTTGCCGTTGTTACACCAGGACTTAAGTTTACTAAGGAGAAAATCATCTGCTACACATTCTGGACTGCGATAAACTACAACTAATTCAATATCTTGCCTTCGGCATTTCAACTTACATCTCACCAGTTCACATGTCCCTGAAACATGTGCTACTGTCTCAGCTAATCTTATGGTTAGGGTAATTTTCGTGTACACAATAACCCCGCCTCCCCTTCGGTTTATTCTATCAGCCCTACTGGTTACGAAACCAGACAATTGGATTTCACTATCTAATACTTCTGACGTTAACCAAGTTTCCGAGACAGCGATAACGTCCGGTTTTTCTTTATCCACCACTGACTTCAGCTCCGCCATTTTATTTAGTAGGCTGCGAGCATTTGTGTAGCACACTTTTAAGTCTGTGGAGAGCTTTCCCTTGCCACCCAGAGTGGCTTGGGGATCGTTTTGCTCCGAACTTTTACAATCTGAAAACCCTTAAGAACGGGGTTTCTTTCACCGTTTCGGCGACGCTCGTTTATTTCCGCTTTTGCAGCTCTTCTCTTAATACGATCAGCTGGGCTGAGGTCCTCACGGACATATATTCCGGATCCAATCACTTTACGTGAATTACTTAGAATCAGGTTCCTTTCTTCCACCGTGTTGAATGTAACCTTTAGGAGGCGGTTTTTCTGAGGACTTTCAGAATCCACCCTTTTTCCTATTCTATAAAGCTTACAAATACTAACTCCTGAAACTGTATCTGGGTGTAGTTTACTTCATGATGTCTTAATATGATTGAGATCATGTTCAAATCTTGCCTTTGGTTCAGTATCTGAAGATTCCCTTATCTTATGAAAAATGACTGATCTCTCAGAGAGATCTGTCTTTTCACGCGGTGAGGATTTTTCTTCTGATAACATCTTCTGATAACAATATAGGCGGCCTGCTTGAATATCTGGGCTACCTGTTTCTGCCATCTGATTATTTCAACAAGTTATCTGTTTTTCATTTGTTTTAATTTATAATTATGTCCATTAACCGCATAACCTATTCAGGCACTTTTATGAAAAGCCTACAACCTTTCGCTGCACAAGTTACGAAAAAGTACTATAAAAGGCATCGTGGTGGTTGGCAATATGCGTTAAAGAGAATGAACATCAATCGTATGTCGATTCCCGAGCTACTAAATTCTAACTGCCGATCATTAATCAACAAAGTGGACTATCTGCAATTCCTGCTTAGTCAAAATACGTATCGTAATTGTGGTGTCATCACAATTCAAGAATCTTGGTTAAATGATTTACAGGATGACTGCCTTGTATCACTACATGATTTCAAAATTTATCGTCAGGATCGATCGAACAATAAAAAAGGTGTGGTGGCGGTGTAGCTACGTTTGTAAACATAAACTGGTGTCGATCTTCGTTTGTGTGTTTTAAGTTTTCAAATGACTTTATCGACTGTCTAACTCTAAGATGTCGTCCAAAACATCTGAATAAATACAAATATGTTTATGTTACCAATATCTACGTTACTCCAGATTGCACATCATCTGCACTATCTGTTTTTGCCGATGAATTCACTGAGTTCGCTGTTACTGCCTTCAGTGATTCACTTTCAGTTGTATGTGGTGGTTTCAATTCATGTGACTGTAGCTTCCTTACGTCACTAGGTCACCAAAACGTAGTAGATTTTCCTACTCGTTTGGATGCTCATTTAGACTTCGTTTTCATTAATGATGTGGGTATATATGCAACTCGTAAACGTGCTCCATTGTCTAGCTCAGATCACTGTTTAATTCATGTTCTACCTAAAGTATATGGAAAGCATGGGAAGAGTACACTCTTACATCAAACCAAGAAAGTCAAATATAGGAATTACTCAGAAGAAAATATCCGAAATCTAAAAAACATGTTTCATACGACTAACTGGGAATTATTTACAGATGACTCACTCGAAAACACTACTGATGTTATCACTTGTTACCTTAAATTCTGTTTTCATATTTGTTGTCCCACTGAAACCATTTTTGTAAGTTTTGATCGACTTACATCTTCACAACTAAAACGACTACGGAGGTTAAAAGAAAGAATGTACAAGGAGAAGAACTCAAATGAAGTTCGTAAGCTAAATGGTCTGATAAACCTAGAGATTAGACGTCTCAACTGCATGTTTACTCAAAAACTCTTATCTTGCAAAAACTCTACAAGTATGTGGAAATTCTTTAAAGAACTTACAGGTGACAGAAAGTTTAGAAGCGATAACCAGCTGAATATTTGTGACTTAAATAAGTCTTTTGTACGTCAGTCATCTGATGTGATGCTCCCTCTATCCACGGGTTTAAAAAATAGCTGTGTTCATACTTTCACTGAAACTGATGTACGAGGATGTCTCCAGTCGCTTAATTCATCTCGATGTTTGGGTCCTGATGGTATCCCAAGCATCCTTTTTAAAAAATGTGCTGACGTTCTGTGTCATCCGTTCTCAACTATATTTAACAGATCTTTCTCATCTAATCTCATACCAAAAATGTGGAGAAAGATGAAGATAATTCCTGTACCCAAGAAAGCATTTGGTGATAAGAATGTAAAATTTAGACCTATTGCAATAACTTCACCTTTCCTCAAAACCATGGAAAAATTATTAATACTTCCACTTCAGCCTGCGATAAAAGGGCACACTGACCCATACCAGTTTGCATACAGGCGCAAAAGAAGCACTTTAGATGCTGTTGCAGTTCTGCATCACAACATAGTGTTCAACTTAGAAAAGGGTAAGAACTATGTTCGATGTGCTTTTCTAGACTATACTTCAGCTTTTGACTCTATACCAAGATAACGTTTACTTAACAAGTTAATCAGCGTCAACACTGACAGCTGGATAACCAACTGGCTGTGTTCCTACCTCTATGGAAGGGAACAGTACACTGTGTTTGGAGGAAAGAGTTCAGATTCTCTACTGTCTCAGGAAGGTGTACCACAAGGAGCTGTTCTTTCACCTCTTCTATTCTCTTTTTTTCTACATGACCTGCCATCTTCCACAGAAAACACTTTTGTGAAGTATGCGGATGATCTCACTGTATGTATGCCTATATCTTCCTCTTTACATCCCATAGAAATGAATGAGTTTTTGTCTCGTATTGATTGTTGGTCTGTTGGTAATGGTCTCATACTTAATCCATCTAAATGTCAAGCTGTTAACTTTAGTATGAGACATGAACGGAATATAAACACTATTTTGAGATCCCATAGTGCTTGTACCATCGGGGACTCTTTGATAAACGCGGTGTCGAAGGTCAATTATCTTGGTGTCACCTTTTCCTCTGATCTGTCTTGGTCTTCCCACGTTTTATCGTTATCAAAGAAGGTTTTCCGTCTGACCTACTACATAAAGAGATTGCATGCTCTTGGAATTACTCGTCATTTTCTCTTACAATTTGTCAATTCTTGCATATTACCTATTATTCTTTACTGTTCTCCATTATTCTTTCCCGGGCTTTTGAGAAAAGACTTTGCTGTATTGCGAAGAGTACTAAAGGCAGTTAGTAAGATGTGTGGTGAATCTTTCGAGGTCATAATTAATATGGTTGTGGATAGACATTTAAAATCATGCAAACTCCTGGCAGGTATTATTTTATCAGATACTAGCCATCCCCTTCACTCTTATCTTTCTCCTTGTATATCTTCTGGTAGAACGAGAAGTAATTACATTAAAATCCTTGCACGCAAGGAAAGTATAAAAGTTCTATAATACCTTACCTAGCAAATATACTCTGTGACGAACAGGTTGTTAGAATTAACCTAGTCAATAAATTACATTCTTAACATGTCTTTAATTTTAAAAGTTTGTAGTTTCTTTTGGGTTTTTTTATTTTATTTTTATTTTATATATTTCTTTATGTATTCGCCACTGCCTTTTGTTCGTTGTTCAGTAAGTAACTTGTTGAAATACCCTGTGCTGAGAATTCTATATTGTACCAAGATATAATATTGAATAAAGCCATTAATAATAATAATAATAATAATCCCTTCCAATGTCTTGCTGACCAGCTGCGTTTTGCCTACAGCCTTTTTCTTCTTATTTTTTTTCTTCTTACCGAAGTCCATTTGTCACTACTCAGAACAGCCACACCTAGACTATGTGGAACGGTGACAGTTTTATCCAGATCTTCTATTTCGACTAGAGGTGTATGACTACCGATGTCAATATCAAGCGACACTTCATTTCTCGTTAATGTCAACGGAGATTTCACGTTCCTGTGAACCGCAGTCAGGTGTTTAATGGGTCCAGTAGCAGCACTTACTACACTGACACATTCTTCATCGTCAGTGCTCCTGTTATCAGTGCTTCCGCCATCGTTTTTCTTGCAGGCCAAAGCCAATAGGCCCATAGCCTCCTGTATTAGTACCTTTTTACCCGTACAGCAGAACATACAAAGCCAATGCGAGTTAGGCTTCGAACATCTTTTGTAGGCCGTCGAACTTAGTCGTGTACACATTTTGTGATACCACTTTTTACAGTCGTCACACTGCATTCCCTCCTCAACGGGGAACAAACAATTTGGTTGCCCACATTTGTGAGTCTTACCAACCATTGTAATTCGATTTAAAAGGTTTAAAAACAAAAAATGATAACAATGTGAACACAAGTGTTAGTCAAGGACTAAAAACAGATACTCAGGACAAAATGTAGCAAAAAATTTCAAACTTTAACCAAAGAACTCTTAGTTAAAGTCGACCAAGAATGCTTTTTAGTGCAATAAGTACCAAAAGCAAGTATAATCACAACAAGTACAAAATTCACTGCCCTTTTTGAAATTAGCGCGTTATCGATGATTATATGCGAGAATAAGCGACATATATATTCCAATAACAATCATTCATTACGATGTACTCGGAGTATGATCTCGGGACACTAAATCAGGTTCACCAACCTACTATCCTTATTACTGAAAACTGAAGAGTGAAGACTAAGGACACAATCTAAAGGCGGGCTCAATAAAGCTCATTCCTTTCCAAGGTCAAGAGGATACAGACAGAAAGTAGGTTAGGATTTGTGTTAAGGATATACAGAAAAATAATTGTTTCAGTATCAAGTCACAATTCACATGTTTTAGTTGTGTCGACGTGGCTTAGATGCTACCTAGTCTTTCGGCGTTAAATTCACATGTGCACTCTAGTACTAGAGTGTTTCGGTTTCCTGAAGGTTCATTATCTACTTTGTCAAATAAATTATAAAGTCTATGACGCTTGTGTGCACTAGCGTTTAGCAGGGAGGATCTTCAGGACTACTGGATAAAGAGTTTTGTTGGACTCTATCGGACGGACGCGATGCCAATTCTGACTTTTTGCTACGCGAATCTCAGGACTGTCTAGATTCTGAAACACCCGGATTCCATTAGGTTTTGGTCACAAAGGTGTTGGGCAAAGTAGTAGTCTATATACTAATTGGTGTAGTGTGGTGACTTTGTCTTTGGGTTTAGTCCTTCGTTGAGAATAGGCTGTCGAGTAAAGAGTGTTCCGAAGTGATCAACCACACCTTCTGCTTTGTCCGGGTCTACCTTTATCTTTTGGGATTCACTCCGTTTTGTTATTGGATTGGGAGTCCAAAAATGAGTCTTTGTTCTGTGGTTGATATAAGCGAACGTTCGCTTCGGCTTCTTCAGTCTTCAGTAATAAGTATAATAGGTTGGTGAACCTGTGTTAATAATGACAGATTGTCTTCCAATAAAGTTCCAGCTTCTCCTTGAAAATATTCAGTGATGGGGCTGATACCATTTGTTCGGGTAAGGCGTCTCAGTCATTGATTACTCGATGAGAAAAAAAGAGACCCCACTCTACGTTTATTATATCGCGGTTTGTGAACCTTCTTGCTATGACCACGGAGATTTTTAGTGCTGGAGGGAGCAGGGAGATAAGACGTATTAACACCCAAATCATAATTAAAGATACGAAATGCCAGTATAAGGTCACCTCACACCCTACGATACGACAAGGGTAAGGCTTAGATGTTTTCAAAGCTCATTGTAAGGGAGTTTAGAAAGACCCTTCACTAATTTTGTTTCCACACGCTCAAGTGAGTTAGTATCTTTTATCAGACACGGGATAGCTGCTTGGATATAGTACTTTAAGTATGGTCTTACATAGGTGAGATATAAAATTCGAAACATTTTCTCATCATAGCTTTAAATGCTCGGCGAAGTGACTATAACGCACGAAAACCTTTGACAGCAGCTGCGTTGCATTGAGTAGTCTTTATGTTCCTGAAAGCCTGGAAGAAATGTGCCACCAATAGTATACTGGTAACTATTACCGTGTACGACGTGCATGAGTACACTCTTCCTAGAAATAACTTCTAAGCCTCAACCTTAAGCCCATCTGGTTAATTCGTTTTGGTCAACTTGGAGATCTAAATGATCAGCCTCAATTTTATTGTTCTCCGGATTTTGACATTATTCGCAAACAATAATGTCGACGACTTAAGCAATCACGACATTTTATTAACGTAGAGAAGAAAGAGTAGGAGACTTGATATAGTGCATTGGGGTACATCACTTTTGACCAGCTTCCATTCGGATAACGTTCCATTAACCTGCACTTTCTGTCTGTGATCACACAAGAAGTTTTCTCACCATTCCTGTACATCACCTGTTATCACGAAGCTCGAGAGATTCTGCATATAACCTTTTTATGAAAACTTGTCAAACGCTTTGTTAAAGTCTATGAATGTCACATTGACAGACAGACCGTTATCTAGGGATGCCGTCTATTCCCCTCTCACAATAAGTTAGTCGAGCATGAATGCTTGTTTCAAAACCCGTGTTGCTCGGGAGTTAACAAATTGTAAGTATCTATGTGACTTGGCAAGTTAACCGGAATTATCTTCTCAAATAAATTAAGGACTATGCTGGTAAGACTGGAAAGTCGGTAGTTAGATACGATCTGTCTCTGACCATCCTTAAATATAGGACTGACTATAGCGTCTTTCCAATCTAGGAAGTTGAGCCAGTGAAAAGGATATGTTGAAGGGCATCGCGAGTGATCTTGAAATGAGGGATGACGGTAGTCGTGGATGTAACCCATCAGGACCTGACATCTTAAAGGTTTGAGGTTAGTGACCAATAGAAGAACAGTTTCCTCAGTCACCTATACAGATTCAATGGATGGTATCTCGGTGTTATTGGGATAAGTATTTGTAACAATACACGTAGAGTAGACTTCGCTAAAATAGTTTGAAAAAGTCTCAGCTTTTGCCCGATCTGATTCAGCCAGTAAATCTGAGTTTTCGTGTAACAACAATGAGGGAACATTATCACTATCTTTTGTTCGCTGTTTAACATACTAAAAGAATCGTTTCGGACAAGTACGGCTATCATATGCCAACTGTCGTTCGTAAGTAGTACGGAATTTAGCTATGGTCTTTTTACATATATTCCGGATTTTTTGGTATTCATACTTGAATGATGCGTGTCCTGTCGACGGGAATAAGTCCCAGAAGTGTTTCCTATGCTTCAACAGCTTCCGGCTTTTCTTATTAATCCAGGAAGGGCAATGTGATAGCTTACCTGTTGACCTTGAGATAAACGGTGATGTTACGGACTCAAATTCGGCATTAAATGTATTACATTCGTCTTCGATCGATCCATCCGCGTCGACCGACCAATCAGTCGAGATAGCACAGTCTCTGATTGCCGAAATATTGGCTCGCCAGATATGGGGACGGGGTGGGGCAGATACAAATTGTATACCATGTGTCCTAAACTTAAAGTAAGGTACAACGTGATCAGTATTCACTAGTGAGATAAGGTGCCGAATGTCGATGACATCCTCACAGTGGTGTGTGAGGGCGAGGTCCAGCAATGACGTATCATGATTGAAATCAATGTGTCGGTTTTGTGATACATTGTACAAGTGCACACTGAGTAACGGTAGAAAAAAGGTCGCTATCGAACCCCCCACTTGGAGCTGTAAGCTCTATTCGGTTGATATACGGTGCGTTGAAGTCTCCAGTGATGGGACAACGTTCTGCCGTACTCCAAGAACAGGCGTGTCTTAAGATAAAGTCGTCAACCAGACAATACAGACTACGGTATATTCCCCCTATAGTCACCAACCCATTTCTAGATTTAATCTTACAACATGCTACCTCACATGTACCACTAGTATGCGCCTCCGATATGATTAATTGTATACGAAAGTGATCCCTAACGTATAGTATTATGCCTCCTCCCTATCACTTCTAATACAGATGTAACCTGCGATGATGGGAGAACAATCTATATCTACGGTGAGCCAAGTTTCTGTAACGACAATTATATCGGGACTTGATTCATCCATCATCAAACTTAGGTCGGACGTTTTATTTCGAAGACTACGGGCGTTCATGTAGCATACTTTTAAGATGCTTTGGGAATCATTCGTTCTACCCATACAGGCCTCGGAAGCATTGGCTCCCAAGATCTGACTACCCGAAAACCCTTAATCGTAAGGTTCGTTTCGCCATTTAGCATTCGAGTTCTTAACTCTGTACGAGCATTCTTCCACTTCATTCGATCCTCAAGCGACCAATCTGGTCAGATACGAATATTTGAATCACGAGTTTTGGGTGCGTTATTCAATATCATTTCGAAATTCCCGAATACCAACTTCAAGATCCTTCTTGGTTGGGTCTGGCCTCCGACCCATTTACCGAGTCTTTTTACCTTCGTTATATGTACCCCTGAAACCTCTTCAGGCAGTACATTTCTGACTACAGATTTCACTAACTGCAGACCGTCTGCATGTCTTTTATTAAGGTCATTGTCTTTCAACTCCTCTAGATTCCAAATAATTAAACTAGGAAGGGGTTTGACTTTTTTGAAAATCGTATTCACAGCTTTCGACTGTGATGTCAGATCCTGCATATTAACTGCTGGCATATTACCGTTAGTTTTCTTTGTAACAGAGTCGAGCGAATGACTCACAACAATGTTTGATGAGGTCTTATTTTGGGACTTTGGCAGAGTAGTTTTGGCTATCTTTCCTATTCTTCTACGTTCACGTGTCATCCATTTTCCATCAGTCGCAACGTCTACATCGAAACTACTAGGGACGGTAATGGTTTCGTCAGGATCGTCAGTCGCTGCTCTAGCAACTTGGCCACCAATATCTAATGGCGTATCGCTCGTTAATTGTTTTGGGGTTACAGATTGTGTCAACTGCTTTCCGTATTTCCGCTGAGTTGTTCGGATTGTGTTTATACACTTGTTTCGGAACAACTTGTATTCACTGTCCCAAGGTTGATGTTGACGTCCCAACGTTTTTTATTTTGTCTTGGCAAACATGGGATTTCCCGGTCTATCCAGGGATGACCGTGAATTTTCTTCTTTGGAGCTTCCAAGGGTATAGATGTTTGAATTACGTTTTTTATAACTACTGGACGTGATTTTATGCCTCCCACAATAATACATGAAGTCGATTTTGCAGTACTCAGTATAGTCTGCAGAACTGATCGCCTTCATATCTTCCTTCCATATAGTAGGATGCGCTTGCGCATCTGGTCTAAGAGTAGAAGATATTCGTAGGTTACTAGTATTCGATCATAGATGTCTTCGAAGCATTGCTCGTATATCCTAGGACCACCGTGTAGGTAATGCAGTTGCTAGGAGACGGGTACTAGGTAAGGATGGCAAGTCAGTTAATGAAGTGGTGAAACTTCATCAGTTGAGATTGTTGGGACATCTGTTACGTATGCCCAACTACCGAATGCCCCGACGTGCGATGTTCATTGGTATAGGAGTAGGTTGGAAGAAAGATAGGAGCGGCCAGACCAAAACATGGCACAAATCCATGAAGTCATTGACAAGTGGACTGAGTCATGTTGATAGGTGTAGACTACCTGGTTGGGATCCGCGAGACGATGACAACCGATTGTTAGAGACCCTGAATGACATGGCTCAAAATCGTTTGCAATGGCGCAGGTGCATTCACTCTTTGTGTTCTCCCAAATTCTAATCTTCTGAATCTTTCATGTCCCGCTCTTTTCTCTTTCCAAATTTATTTCATTGGATTATACTCTTTGAATAACATCTTTAAACCATAATCTTTCCGATTACTGCTTATAATTTTACTACATCTACCACTATGGGATTTGAATCGACAATTGTATCTATGTGCTAATGTGGTATGGCAACTCAAACTGATGTACGTACGTACGAAGTTCTACGTTGTTGCTGACTTACTGACTTGCGCATCTGGTCGGCAAACTTCAGCAACAATGAACTTGAGTTACATGGCCGCATGTTTACTTCTCTTCATAAGTGAACGATCGTTTATTTGTCTGATCGTCATCGTGAGTGATGACGGAGTCCGGTACGTGAGACTATAGTAGTCCATATGTGGTGAGATCTCCAATGTCCTGGTATAAAGATAGAGCGATTGTGGTTTCTAAGAAATTGTAATCAAATGTTTTTTTGGTGAGCCACTTCCAAGGCTTTCCAGTTCTTAGAGGGTGCATCGAAATCTCATACTATCAAGTTATATTTATGTGTTAAAACAAATAAATAACTATTAGGCTTCTACACCTGTTTTACCTTGATTTTAGTTTACTTAGGAAGAAGCTACTACTACACATTCAGGACTATGGTACCAGTCAGTCAGCTAAAACTTAGGACCATGCACATATATGCATCGGTTCAAGTCGCCATACCTCATTAGCACAACAAGATCAACACCAAATTAGTAGTAGCTACTTCGGTGACAGTAATATATTAAAGATTGCATATATGTATATAATACAGGGGGAAAGAATTAGTTCGTAGAAAGAAAGATATGAAGCGATTTTAATCTCACGGTTCGCGTGTATATACCTACGCAACTGTGCCTCCAACCAATGGTTACGGTAGTCGCGCGAACCCCAACCAAGTAATCTGAATCTACCAACACGGCTCAGACCCCAAGTTAGTGACTTTATGAACTGATGCCACATTTGTAGTCCTCTTCACCCTAACGGGTCACTTGTTCATTTTAGTAATGAATCGCACTTAGGATATACATTTATGACTGAGTGTTAAAGAGCTCGCACAGAAGTCCGCGGAGACTCACAGTTCAAAATAGTGAGTTGTGGGATTCCCTACAGGAAGTTATAGTGGTGAAGCCCTCTGCTGAGTCTTTCAAAAGAATGCTCAAAGATTATTTTAGTTCTGTAGATAATAAAAGGGACTACTTTAGATGTTACTTTTCGACCACTCCTACTTTCAACTCAATTGTTTTGTCCTTCAGTTTCTTGTAGGAATATAACAAGAACCATGTATTCCCACTATCAAAATGTTCTTTTAATACCTAGACGCAGGTTTCAAAGAACAAACAGTTAGCCAATTTGCCAAGCTAAGTGAGGGCGACTGTCAACGTACGTCTCTGAAAAATGATTTGTAGGCTGTGCTAGTTACTTCTAATAACACATGTAGTCTAAAGCACTTTCAGTTGAAGCTCTCGTTATGCGATAGATTTTTTGGTTTCAGTTCATCATCCTAAGTCGTTTTCAGTAAGTGCTTTGCTAATTAATTTTATGCTTGTAATTCTAAAAAGTATATTTCCATCTTAGGTCTTTTAGGAAAGTATTGGTAATTGACTGTCTAATAAGAAGAAAGTAACCCATTATCAATTGTTTGTTGTGATTATCACCGTCGTGATTACAAAGAAAGATGCCAACAGTAGATAGAGCTTTGGCCTTGTTAAGAAAATATCCTCGAGTTTCTCCTCAGAATATATCTGATCTTCCAGGAAGCAAACCACCCGTAAGAAAATTGATATATATATCTTCATTGGTAGTAGAAGTATCACGGTTTGAAACGAATGCGAAGAGGTCTTGGTCATCGTGGTGCTTCCCAGTTTCAAGCATTCCCACCCTTGGGAATTTTGGGTGCAAAGACACCATTTTATCTTTCTGTTCCTAAAGAACCTTACAACATTAACAGCATGTAAGTAAATACATAGTTCTTCTTACAAACCAAGGTCTGAAAACAATCTTCACCGTATTTCGCTTCTAGAGCTTCAAAGACTGATAGACCTTAATCGAATAAATCCACTAGAGCCTATTGACATTTCCACACTATGTAACACCAATCTTTACCGGTTAAATGTGGATCATGATCGACAATATGGTTTCCATCTAACTGACGAAGTAAGGTTGTGTAATAAACTGTTTAAATAATTGTAGGGTATCGATAACTTTGTTACTCCTGTTAATATTGAAGTTCAGTATGCTAGCGAAGAAGTAATTGCAGCTGTGGAAAGAGTAGGGGGAATAATCTGTAACCGTTATTATGATCTGTATTCCGTTTGGGTAAAATCTGACCCTCAAGGATTCTTCATGAAAGGCATTCCGATCCCAAAAGCTAAATTGCCTCCTAATGTAAGTCACAAAATGATTTCCTGTTTCATGTAGCTAGTATGTGTTTTATATATTAAAAACAGCATTAATTATCTTGAACGTGCAGATGAACCTTTACGCCATGCGTCGGTAAAATACTATAGTTAGTTACATTTCGTTATACTTTTTAACTTTTGTGCGCTAATCAGGGACGCTCTTTCAACTAGTACTTTGCAGATTCTTATCCTTTCTCTTTCTATACATGTTGACTTCGCTTCTTATCAAATTTTCTTTTTAATTGAAACTTATTCTTAGTTAATGGTAAATTATTTACCTAAGCGTTGTACGGGTTTCATAAAATGATGGCCTATTAATCCATAACGACAGGTTTTCGTTCAACATGCTTTATATTTTTTTTAAGCACATTTAGTCTCAAAATGCGCACTAAAAGTCGGATTTTTACTGTACTAATCCCTTGGAAATTCTTCCGAAGAAACAAACAATTTTGGTTGTACCAATTGAAGTGGTGGTGAGTATCTATCAGTGTTTTTTGGGAGGTTCCCAAGTGCACCTTTCAACTTGTTTTTATAATACTGAAAGCTTCCCATCAGAATAAGATGTTTCGTCCGGTCACTGCACAGACTGATAAGAGAGGTCAATTATTCTATCAACATCCAATGTGCTGCCCACATCCACAGACACTTTCAACTAAACACAGATTACCATATGTGGCCATCATCGGTCCCTTTTTTATGTAAACGTAGCTCTATAAGACAATTCTCCCTAGTATTTATGTACTTACTGACTGTATAGTTCGAAGTCGAATCAATGTATTTAACGTAAACTGCATGTAACTTACATTTCAGTTATGAAAGACAAATGATAAATGGATCCCATAGGATTTGCCGACAGACACTTGTGTGTTCTTTGCTTTTGTCGGCACTTAATAAACACTTTCTTTTGTAAACAAATATCTTGAAGACAGCAAGGACAATATAGTTAACTCTATTGAAATCTTCGTTACATCTTCATCCTTAATCAACTTTGTATGTATAAGCTGTAAGCAGCTGATGAAAACCTAACGTAATAAAACGAATTCATATTATTTTGCATCAATCTTCGTTCTTGCTCTCTTTAAGATAATAGAGGGAACTATGTGTATGAAATGGCTTGAAATAAAAAATAAAGTTCATTTACCAAGTGCATGTTCATATACTCGGTTTTGATCTACAATTTTCGTATGAAACCTAATAATACTACTCCGCTGCCAAAACAAAACTGGTGAAACTATAATTTATGGACGAACCAATGAGATTTTATTTAGAAAGTCTTAAATTTTAGCGCGAAACTCATTCATCCATGTGGCTAAATAGCATTTTAGCATTATAGCTGATATCGGTTAATAACCAAAACGCTTATTTGCAACTCTAAACTCTAATCCTAAATTCTCACTTTTATTTATAACCCTTTCAACTCCAGTAAATTTCCTCTAGTTCACCCTAACATCTCTAAAAGGTTGTCCGTATACTATGGTTTCACTCGGTAATAGTTGGTTTGAATTCCCTGCCCGAACAATATGTATCTCATATTTCGACGATAATTCCGAGAATGGACTTTTTGAATTAGAGTTTCTAGTGAAAAAACAAAAGTCTTCCACATTTAATGATGAACCACTACCACTCTATCGCAAGAAAATATCAACTGACAACTTAATTCCAACATCTTTTATTTCTCAAGAGGTTTGCAGACAATGCAGCTAAAAGTAAATGACAAAATCTGCCTTCTAGTGTTGGCTCTATCAAAATATGTCAAAGGTTTGAAAAGGGCAAAAAATTGTAGCTCATATTTGAACAAATAGGTAGGATGGCTAAAGTACGAATCTAGACGGTGTTCCGTGATGAAACACGATTATTAATCTGATTCTAGTTAACTTTCTGGGTAGGATCTTCAGGATTTTAAGAACCAGTGATCAATAACAGTTCGAATTCGACCACAGTACCACAAATGCACCATTTGCCTTTTACCTAGATTTTGAGTGTAATATTTTTCTTCCATTAATCTCTCTCTACTCATATTTCTTAGTTGTTTCAGAGTAACATGACCTAAACCGAAGTAGATTTTTGCGGTTTTCCAAGTCTATCTTTCATACTTTTTTGAAAATCAGGAATTCGTAGCCATTACAAATATCCAACCGCTGATATATATATATATATATATACCGAACTAAAACTGGAAATTGATAATAACTCAAGTTTAAGTGTAATGTTGTAGTTTGTGAAACAGCAGAAAATGGAGATCACAAACCTAATGTTAGGCAGTTGAAGAAAATCAGCATCTAGCCTTAAATGTCTGTATTGTGCTAGTAGTAACTCATTAAAGAGTTGGGTCCTCAATCTTGAGAACGCCGATGCTTTCCGTATGGTTCGAGCCCGCGCCACCGAATGTCACAGTATGTGTTGCAACGCAGACTTTACTTTATTATTATACACTACAATTTATTTCTATTCATCTGATACTGATGAATTTATCATCTGCGAATATGGTAGTAATATATTGTTTTCTGGCTACTCCTCTTTAGTAAACATTTAATTAAGTTTTACGGTGAGGTAAAATCTCACGAGTTTATTCGTAGACACATTCTTGTTGGCTTCTCTTAGACATTATAAATTTTTATCTTGTCATAAATCCTGAATTCATACCTGGTTAAATAAGTCCAGAGTATTCCTTCATTACCTCGAAAATCAATTTTCATTTTAAAATGCCCCGTCTCAAGGTTAATCATTAATCTATTACTGGTCACTGGATAAATATAACAAGGAGTATCAACTTTAATGTAGCTAAATATCAGTGTACTGTGTGTTTAATGGGTGAACATACTCATTCTTCATATTGAATCTATAGTTAAATCTCATTTCGGGCATATCACTTTAAAAAAGTGTTACCATTTAGGGATTTTTAGTTTGTTATTATCTTATTATTATGAGTCAGATAATAACGCAGTAGAAAAATATCAGAATCTGGTTTACACCATGTTACCATCGTTCGGTATTTGATCATTATTCTTTGATTTTAAATGTATTTTGCTTCTTATAGGCGTTGATTCCATTCTACGCAAACGCTGAGTCTCGAGGTTATCTGGCGGACCCTGAGGAAGTGGCGAAATCTCGAATTTGGTTGGCTCAAAAGTATGGTTATCACCCATTCGATTTTAGTTCATCCTCGGAATCCACTCAAAAGCTGATGTCTATGCGGAAAGATCCTCGACAAATATTTCATGGACTGGAGCCTGGTTGGCTTGTCAGTATTCCTGACAAAGCGGTTTTAAAGCCAAAATCTGAACTCCTTGATGCCTACCACAAATCCTGATTCCCCCAGTATTTTGTAAAATGCATTTTGAAAGTTATACTGTGGATAGATGGATGTTAATTAAAAATAATAAATAGTACATCCAGTTTTAAAAATCCCGTGCATAATTATGTAATATAAGTTTATGTGATTAGCAAATCACTGAAAGTTCTAAAAATGTTAAGAGAAGTTAAAGTTTCTGGACTCTGCTGCGTTCTATATATATGGCATCAAAAATTGATTGATAGCAGAAAAATTCCTTTACCTAGTTTTACCACAATCAGAAATGTAATTGAATTCGATTGTGTATGTTGGAACGACACAGTGGACAATCAAGAACACTTTCAGAACATTTCTTGCAACAACAGACATGACCACATGGAAGGAATATCGTTGAGCACTGTACTTGGAATAAACAAAAAGTATGACAGTTAATGAAAATTTAAGAGTTAAAAACGGTAGGACATCAGTCTTAAGCTACATACAGCCTAGCACAAATCTGCGTTAGACCAAGATGCCACACTAAATTAGCACAAGATGAAATTAATAGAATGAATGGCAACATAGTTAGAATGATTGCAGCAGCACTGTGATAATGAGAAAAACTATGCATTGGAGATTATGGTTTGGAAAGACTGCTAGGGTACACATGAAGGGATGTCGGAACTCAAGATTCAGGAGAAGATAAAGCAAATGCATCCGCGCCACTGAGACAGACACACACAACTATCACATGCCAATTGTGGTTTCAAATGTTCCACTAAATAGTAATTCTTAGAAATTTCTGACCGAAAAGTCATTTGCTAGAGACCTGTAGAGATCTATACTTAAAATATCGGGTTCTATTCAGTACTTTTTAAAAATCGTCTACGTTGAAGCTACGGTTATTTCATATATCAGTGTTATGAAATTTAGCTTTAAGTGTTTTTTAAATTGAGGAAGTGACCACTAGGATTGAACCTTTGTTTCTATGACTAATTACTGAGCGCATAAGAATTTGCGGCGAAACCATAATTTATGGACGAATCAATGAGATTTAATTGAACAAGTCTTGGGTTTTAGCGCGAAAATCATTGATCCATGTGGCCAAATAGCATTTTGACATTATAACTTATGTCAGTTCGTGATGAAAACCATGACATTCAACTGCAAGTTTTAATTCTAGTTCCGCAAACTGATTTATAACCCTAGAAGATGAATTTTCTCAAGGCCACTTTGTGGTCGTTCAAATCTCGTCCATAAATTAGAGTCTCACTGAATTCGCTTCATTGTGTGAATGAATATATAAAGTTTCACCAAAAATTCGGTAAAACGATTTTTATTACTTCTCCAAGGACAACATTATCCTATATGGCTATTTCTTGTATAGATGTATATATATCTGTGAGAATTGGCCTGATAATTATATTTTATAAGATCATAGTTATCATAATTATCTAACGCTTAATTAAAGCTCAAAAACGGGAAATCAGATTTGATCGATAAATCATTGACCTAAATCTTTAAACATAGAACATCACATTGTGGCCCCATACTTTTTGATGATCAACGCAGTCAGTTGAAGGATTTGGTAGTCGGGATTTTTTTAGTATTAAAAATGTACTCAGAAACATTAATAAAATGTGTAAGACAATGTTCCACTCACTATTGCGTCTTGACATATACAACACTCATTTTCCATACGAGCCACAACTTCGTCAGATACAACAATACTCGATAATGTAGCCTCCGGAGCTGATGGTGTTACATACGGTGTTGGGAGTGATTCTATCGTATTTAACGTCTATTGTAGAAACAAGAATAAATCAAAAATATGTAACAGATTATCACGAAGACTTTGGTTTTCTGTAAGTTTAAATAAACTGTAGCAAAAATGCTGATAATGTTAGTTGCTGTCCTAACCAATGATTCTCTATATTGCATGCTTTTGTTGTTTCATATTTGATTCAATCAACTGTTGATTATGAATTTTCAAGGTTATCCTACGCTCAGTTTGTTTATTTTTATACCTATCAAACTTCTTACATCTTATTACTACTAACAATATACTACACAATTTTACAAATGAATAAAAAAATATGTCCGAATATGTCATTTGTAAAGTAAATTTATTATAGATGCTAATGTTAAATTTGGCTGCTTCTATAATTAGTTAATTAGAAGAATGATCAATCATTGTGTATGAAATACATTATCAATTTAAATTACTACATGTAGTAAGTTCAATAGTCATACTTCAAGAGTTAGAAAATTCATTTTAAAGGATTTATCAGGTGATCCCCAAGTAACCTGAGTTCATATTATATTCTAGTATTGAACTGTTGATTGAATTACGTTCACCTTTCGAAAGCCGTGCATGAAAATATTTGGGGATACGTTTGGAAAGTGATCGCTTTGTACGGCCTATGTAACCTACTCCACAAGAACAGGTAGACGTATAAATACACATTGATATAGCCTAATACAAAAGTTTTTCCTTAACACATCCATAGATAATAGGTGGGCTGAGAAGGATGATGCGAAGATTGGAGGTATAAAAAATATTTCTCAAGGATTTCATTAGACAATTTCTCAAAGCTTCCACAGCAGTATAAAAGTTGCACAAAATGTTCATGAAGAGAATTAGGATCTGTATGAGTTCTCGCAGATTTTAATTTAGGTTTCATGTTGCGCTCAACAAACTTGGGTGGATAGCATCACGGCTCGTAATACTACCAAGCTACTACCTACATCAAGGTATTTCTCGCGAGATTCGAACCTGTAATATTACTTTTTAAATTAGCTAATTTCAATTAAAAAAAATACCACTGATCTACATGATAAGTTTAAAAGCGAGAAAAATGTGTTAGAAATACCTTGTCTTCATCATTTGTTTTCATTTTGTACAAACCGATCTGCCTCAAAATCTCACGACGTGCTCCAAGAGTATGAATACCAATCTATGTTTTATTATACGTAGTTTTTTTAAAACAAAAAAAAGCCGAAGGCATGATTATCAATTGAAACGACTACCTTTAGAAACAGTCATAACTTACGATCAATCAATATACGGTAAATATATAGACTGCACAACATCGTGTGTCAAGTGTACAGTGATTCTTTCTACTTTTAGCTAGTTCTCAAGATGTACATACTTGCACTAATTCATTAACTGTGAGAGATAGAAGAGTAACTTAGATAGTTGTAAGTTAGATATAAAATTAAAACACAAATCAGCGAAATTAAAGCATCACACTATACTGTACATGATAACAGACAAAAAAATCTCCAAAGAAGCAAGTCAACCACCAGTTCAACAGATTCGGTCGTATCAAAAAGGGTTAGTTAGAAATTGAAAACAAAACACCCCACACGACATTCCAGCTAGGGAAAAAAAGGATATTATTAACACTGATAATTGTGAATAGCAAAAGTCAATCAGGCACAATCAATAAAGAGACATGAATGCATATCAGCATGAGTTGTTACGCCACGACAAGATGAAATTAAATGTGATAGGAAAAAGTTCCGAACAATAGTATAAATAGTAGTGAGGACTAAAAATAAAAGAATAAAGTTTGAAAAGATATTTAATTCGAACAACAGAAAGTATGAATTAATATCTAGTTCAAGAAATACGGAAAAACAATGAGTTGATGCATCTGCGCTTTTGTGATCCAATATCAGTTTCATAGACCCCCAAAGTCTCCAACAACTTCAAAAAGACGAGTAAAGTACCAAAATATCATTACGAAACGAAATATCCCAAATCTACAACAACTCGCTTGAATTAGAAATGCAAGAGACAGGATGCCAACTAAGTGAACTGAAGGTTAAGCGGCCTCTTATACCGAAGTCTCTGGATTTTATCCCAGACAGGGTCATAAGTGAGCAATGTTGAGGAATTCCATCCTAGGATGAGACAACTTTTTAGTGCCTCATGGTTTTCATTGATTGACGATTCCACAAAACGACTGGAACCTATCATACCATTAACGCTCAAAAAGCCGATGGTTGATAAATTATACGGAATTCGGTATTCAGGTATTCGATTTTAAGTGAAATTAGTTTACTCTCTGAACACAGACAACACGAAGTATCTTCATTCTCAGGGGAGAGGGTCATTTTAATAACCTTGGTCACGAAATTTGCTCGTTAAATTATATATATTTACTCACTGGCTTCAGTATGTGTCGCTTGTATTGTTTTAGGTGAACATAAATTTGTCCTAAGAAACTCCGTTCTGACTTCCGAATACTATTATTATTGGCTTTATTCAATATTATATTTTTGGTACAATATATAATTCTCAGCACAAAGTATTTCAACAAGTTTCCTTTTCTTATTTCGTGATCGATCCTGACGATAAATATTGAGTGACTGCCAGTTAGATGTTAGCAGCTCAAGAAACGACATCTGAATAATGTCCATTCTTTTCAATGCATATTGTAAGCTACCACAATGTCTTTGATTGTACTTTTTAGTAACTTGTACATCAAAAGGTCGTAAACTTTTCATAAACGCGCCTGAGTGCGATTAATAGACATAATAATGTGTTAAAACAAACAAGAGTAAATAACTTGTTGAAATATCTAGATGGCAGGAACAGGTAGTCTAGATATTCAAGTAGGCTGCAGTGATGATATTCCGTACCGTTGGCGGCTGCCATATTAAAAGCTATTTAGTTGAATTGCATACAAAGTTTAAAAAAACACTAACGTTTCTCTACCGAAGCGATAGGAAATGGGTTAGTCTCGGAAGAAACATCAGCATTAAAATACAGGTATATCCAGTTAACAAGAACCAAGGACGATATGAAAGTCTTGAATTCCACTGATAATCATCATTCGAAAATATTATAGAACTTGAAACTATGCAGTTCTGAATAGTAACAATATGAAAGCACATAATGAACCTTTGACGATTAAAAATAATCCAACGAATGAAAACTTCAAAATGATAGTACTCTATCGGATCTGCAAATCGAATTAATTTATTCAAAAGAACTGTCTGAATGAAACAATTAAAAACAACAGATAAACAAACTTACTTCCTTAAGATCACTATCTGTCATAGATTGCATAATTGAATAGGTAATTGCATGTCGTTGAAAATTAGGCAGAAATTCCAAAGATTGTGCATTACTAAGAATTATTTGAACATCTGAGTCGGACTACAAAATTTAAAACAATATATCCTTATCTTAAAATTAAGAGGTCAAATAATCACTACAAAGTATCCAGATAATAAAATAACATCAAGTTAGAAATATGACATTTATTTAAACATATAAACATTGGTATAAGGAAGCACCAAATACATATGCGCCACATAAATCATTCGACTTGTGTGAGGGCTGTGATACTGTCCTTGTGCCCAAACCGAAGCACATGGTTTTCTTAGGGGGTCACACCCAAAGCCTTTGACCTAAAGATCTGATCCACAAGGCAGTGGAGCAGCGTAAAGAGATGTAGTCCCATGGTAACCGGTGATCATCGATTGGTTCATACGCCATTTGTTCCTTCAAGATACTGGAGCTCATGTACACCATTTGTTTGGAATCAGGGTTTTCCAGCTTTCTTAGGTATACCCTCTGTACCCACCACTAACCCAGTTAAAGCGACAGACATTCGCCTTTCGTCCTCTCAATTTCGTAAACAACACCGCCGCCGCGAGAGGGTAGTGTGTAGGATTTCCCTGGCAGTGGTTGTATGCACGTGGACATGTGAGGGCATTTCGAGAGGGAGAGGTAACTCTCTCGACTCTCGGCCGTACCAGGGCATTTGGGGGCTGAAAAGAGGAGGTAGGCGTAGAGCACCCTGAGTCACTGATTTCCTAAACATCCATTTACCTTCACAGATAATTATGTTTTCAATTTTTTAAATTCACCAATCATCTCTACCACTGGTGTGCACTTTTGCTCCTTCATAAAATTTCTACAATCAATCGTGAATCTGATTACTCAAAAACTAAAGAGGTTATACTACTACTATTCTAACTGTTGAAGAACAGATCACTAAATTAACTTATCTATTAGTTAAATCTTAATTATAGTTGTAAGTTTTCTATGTGAAACAATTCAAAAACACAATCGAATTAGGAATGTTCAAATATCTGAAGAGAATTGATGAATTTTAATAGTTGAGATCACGAGATAATTGAAGATAGATCACCGTGGAAAATCTAAAAGCACTGAAAGACTATTTCGTTCTGTTATGGGATTCCTCAGCAATGTACATCCACGATCCCACCTCGCAAGATTGATTAAATTAACCATTTTCAACTGTTTGAATCTAGTATTTCCACTATTAATTATCCTTTGCCAAATGCTATATCGTTCATCTTCAATACCATCATCTACGTATTAATGTACATTTTTTGAGTGTGAATTGGTTACTGAACGAAACTGTAAATCTATTGATATACAATAGATTTAATTTATTTTTAAACAAAAGTACTATTTCGATATTTTAAATATTTGTGATTAGTTGTATGGATAAAGATCAGTTGGCATTAGTTTATTATCCGTGTAGATTTAAAACTAATGACGCCTAATTATTGAAACATTTTAAAGTTGGTAAGTAAACTTTGTACAATATTCAATTTCGCCTGGAGCCTCTTTGGGACCACTGCCGGTCCCAACCCCGGATAAAGGAGGAAAGTTGGGCATGAGGTTAGCGACCCCATCCTGTAGAAAACTAATTCGCTAAAAAAAGCTAACCAGAAAAAATTATTCAGATCATTCAAATAACAAATGATTATAAATTCCTTCTATAGATTCCGGCAAAATTTCTTAAACAAACGCAGCATCCGCTATGTTTGTAAGTCATCTCAAGTTGATATACTTAGAGAAATAAAGTGGGAGGAAATTAAATAGACGTAAAATAAAGGAATTCGGATAAGAATAATAATAATAGCAAGAAACTAAATATATGAAGTACTGCTGTTCAGAGAGAGAAAGATAAGTCGAGGCGCTCAAATGTATACATTTATAATAAAACTCAAAATTTAATGAAAGTATGAATGCGATTGAATCGATGCGAATGATTAACACCTCTACAAAGTCTTTAAATAGAGATTATGTAAGGTAATCGATATCTCGAGTAGTAATTTGCCAATCAGAATCCTGGTAATATTTCTTTACTTCTGATTAAACTACCTTCCGTTATTGCTATCTTCTTAAGCCTACACTAATTACATTAGTAAATCTTGAGTTTGAGGCCAAAAATAATCCTAACTTCTATCGATACTTTTAAGTGTATCTGCTTCTTCTAACTCGACCTTCGGTTCAATAATAGAAAACAAGCTGTAATGTAGAGGTGGTAGTATATAACTCAAACATCTTTAGCTGATGTATATGAATTATCAGACCACAACTCAACCCAAATCTGAAATCATACTTTACAGATGATCATACTATATATATATATATATATATATATATATATATATATATATATATATATATGTAGGTGGTATAGAACGAAGCAAATAGTACAAAATTAATAAACAATAACTAAGAAATAATAAGTCGCATAACAATAATTAAAAGTTATAAAGTAAACCTACAATACAAAGAATACAGGTATAGAATAAAACAATTGACCTATATTTATACAATTAAATTCGATAAAGTGTTGTGAATTAACAGTTCTTACTTTCGAATAATTGTTATACTGAATTAAGAGCAAATAAAATTGACTGGTTACTATAGTACAATTTTAAGTTACATTAAACTAGAAGTAATAATTTCATTATTATGAATACTTTAACAGTTAGTTTATTATTATTATTATTATTATTATTATTATTATTATTATTATTATTATTATGAAACTGACCTTATCAAGTAATTTGACAGGTTTTGAATTTAATACACGTTGATATTGAACTAACCAAAAGTCCAATTGATCGTCTTTCTTTTGTTGTTCGATTTCCTCCTTTAATACAAAGATATATTTAAATAAAAATGTGCATAATCGATATACGATGATTGATCGATCACTGAGTATAGTGAGCGATATCAGTCAGTCAGTCAGCTACAACGTAGGACCAGGCACATTTATGCATCGGTCCAAGTTGCCATATCTCATTAACACAACAAGATGGACACCGGATTCATAAAAGTAGTTAATTCAGAGGTGGTAATATATAAAAGGAAGATTGCAATAAGGATATAGTACAGGAAGAAAGAATTAATTCGTAGAAAGAAACATGTGAAGCGATCTTAATCTCTTAGTTTAAGGGAAGACAGAGAGTGTATACACCGACACCATTGTGATCGATTCTGAGCCATGTCACCAAGAGTCTCCAACCATCGGTTACGACAGTCAAGCGGACCCCAACCAAGTAGTCTGCATCTACCAACATGGCTAAGACTAGAAGTTAGTGACTTCAAGCACTGATGCCACGTTTTGGTTTGGCCGCCCCTAACTTTCTTCCAACCATCCCCTACACCGGTTAACATTGCACGTCGTGGTAATCGGTATTCAGGCACACGTAACACGTGGCCCAACCATCTCAGTCGATGAAAATTAACAACCTCATCAACTGATTTACCATCATTCCCTAGTACCCTGCGTCTAACCTCACTATTACTTACCCGTTGATCCCAGCAGACGCCAGGAATATTTCTAAGGCATCTGTGGACAAATACTTGTAGCTTACGAGTGTTTTCTGCTCTTAATGGCCATTTTTCGCAGCCGTAACTTAAAACAGAACGGACTGCCGCGCAGTATACTCGTCCTTTTATTGATAGACGGATATCTCGCATTCGCCATAGGTGACGTAAGTTGGCTAAAGCCAAACGAGCTTTTCGAATCCGTGCTGAGATTTCGTCAGACACTAACCCATTAGGGCTGATCAGACTTTCAAGATAAGTGAAGTTGTCAACGCGTTCGACTACTTCACTTCCTATCCTTAGTTCAGGTGTTGACGTAGACCAGTCCTGAAGCAGCAGCTTGCATTTAGAGGGAGAGAAGCGCATTCCAAACATTCTGGCATTGTTGCTTAGTGCTACCAAAAAGACTCTGAATTTTATCAGCGTCTTCACCAAACAGAAGTATATCATCTGCGTATTCTAAGTCGATAAGTGGACCTCCTGGTAGGAGATCAATACCCAAGAATTCAGTAGACGAGAATGTTATTTCCATCAATAGGTCTATGGTGAAGTTAAACAAAAATGGAGAAAGTGAAGCAGCAGCTTGCATTTAGAGGGAGAGAAGTGAGCGATATCATATTTGTTTGATTCCTAAATGAGTTCAGTCGTGCTTCTAACAACTCTGTAACAACGTCTCAGACTGTAGAGTTGGATGATACGCGTTTGAATCCCATAAGAAACATCAGTTTCCTTAAGATTACAGGTATATCATGTTGATATATGTCAACTAGCACGAAACCCAAGTTATAAAGAGTTTTTGGCCGACTACCTGTAACCACCTAACATCTCAGAAATACTGAACTGAATCTGCAGATAAAAGAAAAACTTTAAATACACATATACTCTGTTGTAAGTCTGGAATTTTTACAAATTAGTTTCCATATAATAAAATTTAATTTGTTTCTATAGAAGATAAAATAATATAATTAGAAAAATATATGTATATAAATATTTTCCTTGAATATGTAAAGATAACGTACAATTTTAGTCCAACCACATCACCTGTCACCAAATTAACGAAGTTACATTGGACAGTTAGTTAAAATGGATCATGAAAAAAAAATTTATTGGAAATCATAGAATAGAGTGAAATGAACTTTACGTTAGACAAATGTTATAACGCTCTAAACGTGTTGTTGGCGATGCGGGAAGCGTCATTCGGCTAATGTTCGCTATTTAAAAAAAAAGAGTTTGTTTCCGATGTTGTAAATATGGTCATGCTCAGGTATGTTGTAAAAGTACGCAAAAGATTGTCAACTATCGGCAAAAGTTTCGTAAAGGAAATACGAAGCAGACATCAAAAGAGATCCCACACAGACAAATTAGTATTTTACCTTAGATATGATGATAAATTTGTCATTTCCAGTAGTCAGTAATGTTCTCTTCGAATGTATTAATGCAAAACCTGGTAGCTACGTAACAGTTTAACATATATATGAAAATACATTTCATTATAGAAAACCAATATATATGTAATAAAGCACTTCCGTCAGTGTAATTCAAATAGTAGAATTAATTTGAATTCAAAAGCTTCTCTCTTTTAAAAAACTCAGTTACGTTTATTAAGAAAACCAGTATTCTACAGAAGAAATTAAAGACAAATTAGTTATGTTAGAGAAATGACCGCATGACAACCGATAACAACAGACAATCAATAATAGGTATGTAAACAAAACAAAAACGATAAATAAGAGATTAGAGTATAGTAGAGAAAATGGTCTGATGGATTCTCCACTTAATATATTTTAACTATACATGAATCTAAATTGTGTGAAACATTCAAATAATTTGAGACCTCATCATGTCTCCTCAATAAATCATATTGACTTCTTTATATTATTAAAATCAGGAACTGATTTGTGATTGCGTAAATGTGATCAAAAGGACATAAATTGGGTCATCAAATGTCCCATACCAAATTATGTTAGGGCACGTTGAGTGGAAAAGAATTTAGAATCTTCAAATGTAAAATTACAAATATGATGACGTTTTTCTCATTGTGATTCATTCTCACTTTACTTGGTTTAGAGTATAATGACGTACCTGTCCAAACCGTGTTCTGATCTCGAGGACTAAGTCAAGAGAGGTAAAGTGGTCAAAAAATATAAAGCAATAAGAGTATCTCGATTAGACAACGAAATACTTAACAAAACTTATTACTAAGATTTCCAGAATAACATTAATATAACAAGACTTACCAAACGTTTTCGTAATTCCTTTTGACGATCTTGTTGTTCATCCATTAATTGAGTTAACAATTGTAGTAGTTCAGATCTACACTCATCAAGAACACGTTGATTAACCTCAGTACGCTGATTAACACGTGACCGTTCAGCTAAAGTAAGCCGGCAAAGTTCTTCTTCTACTAAGCATATCTCTTTTTGTAATCTTGCAACTTGACCATCTTTTTGACGTTGTAACTGAGCAAAAGCTTCTTTTTGAACACTTTCCTTTATGAGAAGTATTTTTAAAGAAAAAATTAAAATATAATATAAATCATAGTTATTACGGTATGAATTATCTGGAATTCAATCTTTTACAATGGAAACTGGTCGAATTGCTTCACAGGGGTGCAAAAACTAAAAAGTGTGTACATGTGGAGGGGTGGAGCTTGGCGTTCCTTCGTTATTATTATTAAATATACATCAGCTGATTTCAGAGACATAATATTGCTCATAGTTTCACATTTGATCTAGAGACTATTAGCATTTTTTTTCAAAACTGATTCTCTTCTGGCCAACATAATAAATTAGGGTACATAGTTTAGTGGTTAGGTAAGCATAAATATTACAACCAATAAAATAATACACTTTATACAACTTCGGAGTAGGAATTTATAAGTATCTCTAAAGTATCTTTGTTCTATAATAGATTCGGTTTATAGACACACAGGATTAACAAGCTTCCAGTACTAAATACAAATTATAAATCTTCTCTCTCTGCTGTAATTTAAATGAATAAATAATCTCTATCTCTTTATAGAACAAAGATTATTATTAAAACGAAAGGAAAGAATTTCAATCGATAGATCATAATGCAATGGAATAGTGTGACTGAGAGATAGCTGTTCATGAATCCGAATTATTGATGTAATGCTCTCAATTGAACTGATATCAAAATACAAGGAATTTATCCGGTAGAATAGGTTTTCTTTCTTTTTACAAAATAACAGGCTTGTAAACAAAGTATTGAATATAAGATCAATCGTGTTTAGAAGTCACTTAAAAAAATAAACGACTGAAGGATATGAAAACAACAGTAGTTATTCTAACTTCAATGGAATCAATGTCTAACTATTAGGCTTAATTACTGTCCTGTTATATCAATCATTCAAAAACTAGTATTTTGGAGGAAATCAACTATTTTAATTGAATGAGAAACTTAACAAAAATCTGTATCAAAGACTCCCTTTTTTTATAAAAAAAAAGTTAAAATGTCATTTCACTTACCTCTAGCATAAGATTGAAGGTTAATTTTGTATGATCAGCACGTTTATTCGCTAAAACTTGTTCAACATATTCATTAGTGGAATCTTTATTATTTGAAAGACTGTGAAGTTTAGTTGAATTCAAATTCATTGTATGAACTGCATAAGCATTGTCTGTAATTGACAACATTTCTTGCATTGAAGCTGTTTAAATAAAATTTTGTTAACAAACAAATTATTGAGATGGTGGAGAGGATTTGTAGCTCAGGTGGATAAATTTGATGAATTTTCGTTCTCTGAGCTGGATGGTTTGGTTGTGGAGCTTTCATCGTTCTTCTGAACGACATCATCAGCACAAACTTCCGAATGAAGTTCTTCGAAAGTTTGTGCTAATGATGTCGTTCAGAAGAACGATGAAAGCTCCACAACCAAACCATCCAGCTCAGAGAACGAAACCCCATCAAAATAAATTATTATTCAGTTCCTATCTAACTAATTAAAAATACAAACAATAATGACGATTATCAAACAGAACCTAAAAATTATCTATTAACTAAGATATCTAAATATGATAAGCCAAATTACCAACTACTTTTTTCACCAATACAATCAATAATTAGACCGATCTGAAATTTCGATTACATTTAGACAACTTAGATTAACATTTTTCCCATGACTATAACTTGATGATAAGCAATAAAATAAAAATGGCTGTTTACCAAAGTACTATAACAAATGTTGAAATAGGTGGCTTATAGTAGTTAAAATACTCCACTTTCGATTGGAATATCTCAGGTTTGTTTTCCATCCGACCAAATACGATTTGACCAACCACGTATTATCAATATCTATCCAACAAACAGTGTGGATAAAAGCTGTCATATATAAACCTGTATGTATATCAACAACATACAGTTACAGATCATTTTATCTGTTTAAAAAGATAATGGATTACTCTACTGTGTCGTTTTCAGTGATATACCATTACTACTTAAAATTAGTATTTATTATTCTATGATACTCAGAGCCTGTTAAATCACGGTAAGGAATATGGTAACGCGTTAAAATGTAGTGACATTTTTGTCATGATATATAACTATATTATATATTGTTCAGTGCATTTCTTAAAATTTTCAATAGTTCCCAAGTTGGAAATTTATCAAAATAAGTTTATGACTATCTCTTTTGGTCTACTTTGTTTAATAGTATAGTTAAAAGGCTTTTCAAGTTTGTCATAAATTGATCCCAGTTTGGGTACCACGGAAACCTAAGGAGCATTGTACAACAGTTTCATCCTAATATCAAACTCCTCAGCAGAATGCCAGGGATCGAACACAGGACTTATAGGTTTGTCAGTCAACGCTTTAACCGTTAGAATAACTGAGTTGGCTTCTGGTGCTATAATTTCAACTACAATGGGTCTGCGATATAGTGCAACGATCATTTACTACCATCGGTAACAACTGTTCAAATAAACTGAACTAAACTAAACTTCACTTGTCATGATATTCCCAATTAAACTTTAAGAATAAATTTCGAATCAAATCACTGGTGAGTACAGAATAATAATTTTATTATATTCCATGGTTTATAATAGTGTTTAACTGAAATCAATCTGTGATGGACACAACCTACTTCCTTTAATGTTAATTTTGAGTTTAATTATAAAAAGACTTTTCATTGTACTTTGATAGTGGTGCTTTATTGGTCTCTATCTAGTACACTTTGATCAATGGGCTTCACAGAACTTGATGAGACTAGGAGCAATAATATGACATGAAGAACGTATATTTCGATAGAAAGTGAAACTGAATGTACTGGGGATTATTTAAAGGGGATTCTAGCATCTTCTTAACTCATATTCCAGTACCGATTGGCTAAAAAACAAATCAATCAAAATACTCGGAATATTTTCACAATGACCATGTAAGTTATATCGCTAAGAACTGATCCATCAAACAGATAGCTAAAAATGATATTCACAATCTAACGAACCAGATAAATATTTATCAAACAAATTAAAAATATCCACTCTCCTCCAGTACAATAATAAAAAAGCTATAATACAGCTTAAAAGGGAATACTGAGAAATTATAAGAGCAAAGTGGACATTAATTATATACACTGTTGGGGAGATATAAAACATTCCTCCAAAAAGTCTAGAGGGACCCTGAAAATTCTGGGAAAGATTTTAATCAATCGGCGTTGAATAGAAGCGTCTCAGAAACATCTAGAAAGTGAAGAGTCACGTGTCACACTTCTGATTGGATGGTTACATATATTGCTACTATGTTTAGTATAGGTCCATAAACTTCCAGAAGTCCGAAACCATTTGAAATACCATAGATACCCTTGATTATCTGTACATAAGCTAACTTGGAGTAAAACGTTTTTTCCACAATTTGCGCCTTTTATTTTTCCTTCAAGTTGTCGTGTCGATTTAGTTGGGATTATTAGAAGAGATAAGGAAAGTGTTGTAACGTGTGACTAACCATTACCAAGAAAGAACGTAAAGTTGATACACCCGTCGGTGGAGGCATGGACTTAATGGCTTTGACATTTTCAGGATCAGGTTTTCTCCCGTTTTTATCGATTATGAATCCCAAATACCGGACTTGCTCCATGTAAAAATCACATTTTTCGGAACGCAGTCTGAATCCATAATCTGCTATGCGTCTGAGAACCGTATCCACCTTATTCTCTAAATCAGCATAGTCTGTACCCATGATCAATATATCATCGAGATAAGCCGCGGTACCAGGAATGTCTTGTAACATAGTGTCCATAACTTGTTGGAAGATTGAAGGGGCGGTCTTTACTCCAAAAGGAAGTCGGTTATATCGGAACAATCCCTTGTGAGTGTTTATTGTCAAGTAATGCTTATGTGGTGGTCGATATTCGATATATCCCTTAAACTTCGTATGCAATTCGTCTTGACAACCGTCCTATTTAACCCACAACGGTATATTATTCAGAAGGCGAATACGAAGCGTTGATTACGTTTATTTCGAGACCACACACACAGATGTCCAAAATTTATAGATGCATTAAACGAGCATTAGGAGTTGTGTCGAACGGCAAACAGGCAAGCGAGCGACTGAGCGAATGTAAGTAATCGAGTACAATCAAGCGAGCGAGAAAGCAGAGTCAACCATATGAATAACGTGGACATATATATAGCATGTGAAATTAATGAGTAATCGAATCAAATAAGCGGTTAGTAGTGAGACTAGCAGAGTGACATAAATGCGTAGGCCGTAAGCAATATTCAAGCATGCGTATTTCATACAAGCACAAAATAATAATAAGGGTACAATAAATTGTTATAGTGCGGATGGCTTTGTCCGCTAAATAAGTTAGCAAAAGGGCTTAACTGAGTTAAATGAGAATAAACCCATTTGCACGTGAGTCGCTATACTTACACTCATCTGCTACTGGAATCTGTAGATAAGCGTCTGATAGGTCTAATTTCGCAAAATACTTACCCCCATTCAGTTTCGCAAATAAATCCTCTGGTACCGGCAATGGGTATTGATGGGCTTCAAGCGCTTCATTTAATCCAGTCGAATAATCTGCACATAACCGGATACTTCCATTAGGCTTTTTAACAACCACTATTGGAGCTGCCCAATCAGAAAAGTTTACTGGCTCTATTATTCCACTTCTTTGCAGACGCTCTAACTCTTGTTCAACAATAGGTAGCGCTGCATAGGGTACCGGGCGTTTTGGTCTGAAGACGGGGGTGATTCCTGGTTTAAGAATCAATAGTGCTTTTACCTTTTTGCATTCCCCCAACTCTTCCGTAAACACTTGACTGTGTCTTTCCAATACAACACTCTTCAGATCCTTTTCCACCGGTTTATTGGTTCTCACTGCGCTGCATATGTGGTTAATGGAATGATTTGCTGATTGTAGTGTTTCTATCAAGTCTAGACCTAGCAAATCTAGTCCTGGATTCTGTGTAAGATATAAAGTTGCATTCGTTTTCACGTTTCCTTTCGAAACTGTACAACAAACCTCTCCAACAATATTTAGTTTTCCTCCAGATGCGCTGTGAGCTAACTGGGTTGTTGGGAGCACCTGTGGTCTACCGATAAGATTCCAAGTTCTCCGACTAATAAGTGTGATGTCAGAAGCGGTGTCGAGTTGCAGGCGGGCACGCTTTTTATTTATATCCAAGTTTACATACTTTCTTTGGCGGCAAATTCGTGCTCGATTATGTGATACCAATATTTTGTTAGTTCGAGCACTAAATCTGTATTTCTTCGAGTAGGGTTTCAAAGAATGTCGTTTATGGGTTCTTTTTCTGCAGCAGTTTTCTTTATGTCCCTTGCGATGATACTTGCTACAACAATGTTCTTTATATGGGCAGAACCTTTTATAATGCCAACCACCACAAGACCAACATGGAGATGAAGGCTGATTATCTGTGTGCGATACCTTTCTTGAGCAAGAATCATTCTTTCCGCTTACAGCACGAACGTATGGCAACTGGCCATTATTTTCGACCATCGAAGTGTCATGCTTTAGGTTTACCAATCTCTGGCACTCTGTGGTTACTTCTTGTAGTGTCATATTCGGACATTGTCCAATCTTACTCAAAATTCTAGTTCTAATATCGGCATCTTCGGGAGATTGGAGGCTGCACACAAATACGAGACACTTAAACTGGTCTTCTGTCATTGCTGATAGTTTGAAACGCTCACATTCACGGTTTACTAAACCCGCATGTTTCACCCAGTCATCATCACCTGCTTTTGTCATCTTGAGACATTGATAACGAATATTAAACAAGGATGACTGTTCAGCAAAGATTTGCGACAAAATTTCAATCGTTGCATCAAAAGAAAAATCTCTTGGATTCTTTGGAAGGATAAAGTTACTGTAACGTTCATGTTCAACAGTTCCAAGCTTTCGCAAGAGTATTCTGACCTTAGCGGCGTCATCAAGTTTTTTCAGGTCGACCTTGAACAAATCTTCATATTTCTTGAACCAAGTTTCAAAAGTAATGCCAGCTGAACCATCAAAATTAAATTCATGGATAGAATTAACAATCTGGTCAACATGAGATTTGAAGGGATCATCTGTAACTTCTTTTTGATTCAGGTTCATTTTCTGAGTTAGCATCTCTATCATGCACATCTGGAACTGTTCAAAACGTTTTTCTTGGCGTTCCAATAAGGCTTCAAATTGTTCAAAAGTTCAGCTGGCATTACTTTTGAAACTTGGTTCAAGAAATATGAAGATTTGTTCAAGGTCGACCTGAAAAAACTTGATGACGCCGCTAAGGTCAGAATACTCTTGCGAAAGCTTGGAACTGTTGAACATGAACGTTACAGTAACTTTATCCTTCCAAAGAATCCAAGAGATTTTTCTTTTGATGCAACGATTGAAATTTTGTCGCAAATCTTTGCTGAACAGTCATCCTTGTTTAATATTCGTTATCAATGTCTCAAGATGACAAAAGCAGGTGATGATGACTGGGTGAAGCATGCGGGTTTAGTAAACCGTGAATGTGAGCGCTTCAAACTGTCAGCAATGACAGAAGACCAGTTTAAGTGTCTCGTATTTGTGTGCAGCCTCCAATCTCCCGAAGATGCCGATATTAGAACTAGAATTTTGAGTAAGATTGGACAATGTCCGAATATGACACTACAAGAAGTAACCACAGAGTGCCAGAGATTGGTAAACCTAAAGCATGACACTTCGATGGTCGAAAATAATGGCCAGTTGCCATACGTTCGTGCTGTAAGCGGAAAGAATGATTCTTGCTCAAGAAAGGTATCGCACACAGATAATCAGCCTTCATCTCCATGTTGGTCTTGTGGTGGTTGGCATTATAAAAGGTTCTGCCCATATAAAGAACATTGTTGTAGCAAGTATCATCGCAAGGGACATAAAGAAAACTGCTGCAGAAAAAGAACCCATAAACGACATTCTTTGAAACCCTACTCGAAGAAATACAGATTTAGTGCTCGAACTAACAAAATATTGGTATCACATAATCGAGCACGAATTTGCCGCCAAAGAAAGTATGTAAACTTGGATATAAATAAAAAGCGTGCCCGCCTGCAACTCGACACCGCTTCTGACATCACACTTATTAGTCGGAGAACTTGGAATCTTATCGGTAGACCACAGGTGCTCCCAACAACCCAGTTAGCTCACAGCGCATCTGGAGGAAAACTAAATATTGTTGGAGAGGTTTGTTGTACAGTTTCGAAAGGAAACGTGAAAACGAATGCAACTTTATATCTTACACATAATCCAGGACTAGATTTGCTAGGTCTAGACTTGATAGAAACACTACAATCAGCAAATCATTCCATTAACCACATATGCAGCGCAGTGAGAACCAATAAACCGGTGGAAAAGGATCTGAAGAGTGTTGTATTGGAAAGACACAGTCAAGTGTTTACGGAAGAGTTGGGGGAATGCAAAAAGGTAAAAGCACTATTGATTCTTAAACCAGGAATCACCCCCGTCTTCAGACCAAAACGCCCGGTACCCTATGCAGCGCTACCTATTGTTGAACAAGAGTTAGAGCGTCTGCAAAGAAGTGGAATAATAGAGCCAGTAAACTTTTCTGATTGGGCAGCTCCAATAGTGGTTGTTAAAAAGCCTAATGGAAGTATCCGGTTATGTGCAGATTATTCGACTGGATTAAATGAAGCGCTTGAAGCCCATCAATACCCATTGCCGGTACCAGAGGATTTATTTGCGAAACTGAATGGGGGTAAGTATTTTGCGAAATTAGACCTATCAGACGCTTATCTACAGATTCCAGTAGCAGATGAGTGTAAGTATAGCGACTCACGTGCAAATGGGTTTATTCTCATTTAACTCAGTTAAGCCCTTTTGCTAACTTATTTAGCGGACAAAGCCATCCGCACTATAACAATTTATTGTACCCTTATTATTATTTTGTGCTTGTATGAAATACGCATGCTTGAATATTGCTTACGGCCTACGCATTTATGTCACTCTGCTAGTCTCACTACTAACCGCTTATTTGATTCGATTACTCATTAATTTCACATGCTATATATATGTCCACGTTATTCATATGGTTGACTCTGCTTTCTCGCTCGCTTGATTGTACTCGATTACTTACATTCGCTCAGTCGCTCGCTTGCCTGTTTGCCGTTCGACACAACTCCTAATGCTCGTTTAATGCATCTATAAATTTTGGACATCTGTGTGTGTGGTCTCGAAATAAACGTAATCAACGCTTCGTATTCGCCTTCTGAATAATATACCGTTGTGGGTTAAATAGGACGGTTGTCAAGACGAATTGCATACGAAGTTTAAGGGATATATCGAATATCGACCACCACATAAGCATTACTTGACAATAAACACTCACAAGGGATTGTTCCGATATAACCGACTTCCTTTTGGAGTAAAGACCGCCCCTTCAATCTTCCAACAAGTTATGGACACTATGTTACAAGACATTCCTGGTACCGCGGCTTATCTCGATGATATATTGATCATGGGTACAGACTATGCTGATTTAGAGAATAAGGTGGATACGGTTCTCAGACGCATAGCAGATTATGGATTCAGACTGCGTTCCGAAAAATGTGATTTTTACATGGAGCAAGTCCGGTATTTGGGATTCATAATCGATAAAAACGGGAGAAAACCTGATCCTGAAAATGTCAAAGCCATTAAGTCCATGCCTCCACCGACGGGTGTATCAACTTTACGTTCTTTCTTGGTAATGGTTAGTCATTATGGAGTTTTTCTTCCAGATATGCATCGCCATCGTGCTCCTCGTAATTGCTTATTGAAAAAGGATACTAAATGGTTCTGGTCAACTGAATGCCAGGAAGCATTCCTAAAATCATCGAACCTTCTCCTTACACACTATGATCTCGATCTTCCAATTATAGTCGCAGCAGATGCGTCGAACTACGGAATTGGAGCAGTAATTTCACATGCCTACTCTGACGGGTCTGAGAAAGCAATCGCTCACGCTGCGACATCACTGACTATGACTGAAAGAAACTACAGTCAAATAGAAAAAGAAGCCCTCGCGATTATATTTTCTGTAAAAAAGTTCCACAAGATGTTGTTTGGTAGGCAGTTCACCTTACTTACAGACCATAAACCGTTACTGGCAGTTTTTGGATCTAAAAAAGGCATCCCGGTATATACAGCAAACCGACTACAGAGATGGGCTACCACACTGCTGGGCTATGATTTCAAGATAAAGTATCAACCAACAACGGATTTCGGACAGGCATATGCACTCTCAAGATTGATTAGTCAGCATGAAAAACAAGAAGAAGAGGTACTTGTAGCTGCTATGGATGTCGAGGCCGAGGTTCACAAAATATTGTCAGACGCAGTTTCCGGACTCCCGGTCACATTCGAAGCCATCAAAGCGGCTAGCAAGAAGGATAATGTATTGAAGATTGTTCGCCATTGCATACTCAACAAATGGCCGTCATCTAGACTACACGGAGAACTCTTACAATATTTTCGTCGACGAGAGTCATTAACAGTTGTCGATTCATGTATAATGTTTGGCCATCGTATCGTTATCCCCAGAAATCTTCGACACCAAGTCATTAAACAGTTCCACAGCGGGCATCCAGGGGTAAGTAAAATGAAATCACTAGCTCGGAGCTATGCATACTGGCCGTCAATGGACCATGATATAGAGCAAAAATGTCGCAGCTGTTGGTCCTGTCTAGAGGCTGCAAAGAATCCAACGAAAGTTGAACCATAACCATGGCCTTGGCAAAGAATACATGCTGATTTCGCCGGACCTATACAAGGCAGAAATTACTTGGTTATTGTCGATGCATTCACAAAATGGCCAGAAGTATACGACATGCCGAAAATGACATCGGAGAGTACAATAAGAAGATTGTCAGGATTATTTGCTAGTTTCGGGGTTCCAGAGATCTTAGTGACCGACAATGGTACTCAGTTTATGTCATCCGCCTTCAAACGCTTTTGCAGTGAAAATGGCATATTGCATCTACAATCTCCTCCGTACCATCCTCAGTCGAATGGCCAGGCAGAAAGATTCGTGGATACGATTAAAAGAGCTCTGGTCAAAGGGGGAGGTGAGGGTATCCCGGAACAAGTGATTAATAAGTTCTTGATGTCTTACAGAGTTACCCCTAATCCGACAGTGCCAGAAGGAAAGTCTCCAGCCGAGTGTATGTTCGGAAGGAAAATCCGGACAGTTCTTAACAGTATGTTGCCGCCCAGAAAGACAAATAAACCCACGAATGAAAATCGTAAGGTCAATCGTAGCTTCCAGGTGGGTGAAAAGGTACTTGTCAGATCGTATCAAGGTAATAGGAAGTGGGAACCAGGTGTCATAGAACGTCGAATCGGAAATGTGCTGTACCTAGTCCGGAAAGATGTCGAGAAATGCATAAGACATATAAATCAAATGCAAAGAAATGATAGTACAGTGGTCACAGAAAACCGGCTTCCATTTCAATTGCTCGTAGATTCATCTCAGAAGAACCGTCATGAGAGCAAATATCGAAAAGACAAACGACGCAAAGAGAAAGCTGTACAACCCTCGAGAGTGATGGACCGCAAGAGGAATGCGACACCCAAGCTTCAGGTGGATCCAAGAAAAAAATCTTACACAACGGACTTAAAAGTGGGGAGGTGTGACGACGGACCACCGGTGAACTCGAGGAAGCTGTAAGAGGCTCAGAAGGAGCCGAAGACGTTCCATCCAATCACCTTTCGGAAGAATGTTCTAGAATTCCAACGCGTAGCTTCCCCATTGGATAATGCTAATAACCCCCTGTACGCGGATTGGAAGACTGTAATGATGATTTCGTTCTCACTAAAAACTATAAATACCCGACAATTTTGTAATATGTTTGACACTGTTTGCAATAATATTCCTTTCGTTAGTCTTCTGTCTTCTTACTACGACTTGGAAGGGTTTTGGTGTTCTAGTGCTCAGTTATACGCGGTAGTATCAAGAAAAATCAGTTTTTCAAGATATAACAGAAAGTGATTGAAGAGTTCAATTAGAAGACTTATCACATACACACACACATTAACCAAAAACTATTCAGAAAGAGAGCTAAAATAGAAAAGAAGAAAAAAGACAAAAACGAACCTAGGATTTCTTTCCGTTTTGATTGTGACAAAGCTGTATAATCAGTAGAACTAAACTGATGTGCATTGAACACATCTTCCATCTTCTCTATCAACTTTGCTGATTTATTAATTGTCAGTATTTGTTTGATTATATCAGCAGCATTCTGTTCAGCTAGTGCAACATTAGAAATTAATGCGGAACGTTGTTGTTTTCGTTTATCTTGTATAGCAGATAATTCAGCACAAACACGTGCTTCTTCCTTCCAATAAGAGATTTTAAAAAAGTACACCAGTATATTTTTAACATGCATTTAACGTATAAACTTTTATTTATTGAACTAAATATGGCGCTAAATTACCTCATTATTAAATATATATATCAAATGAAAAAGCAGAAGCGATCTATAAAGTATCCGACTGTTGACCTGAGATTTATAAAGAATTGTAATTTGTCTGAGTGACGTCATCGCAATACTAAGTTAGCAGCTAATATCAGTGATGCAGTCAGATATTGAGTCGAAAATAACGTAAAACCAGGCATATATATGCACAGGTCAAGGTTATCAACACAATGGGGCCAAATTATTAAGATTTTGGTTGTACCGGTGTCGGTGATATTAAAAATATTACGCATAGAAAATATGATTCAATAAGAATCAATAAATAAGAATAGGAAGTATAAAAACGTTTTGAAGTTAAAGATCTAAGGGAAGAGGGAAAATGCTTCTGCATCATTGTAACAGATTTTAAGCCATATCACCAAGCGTTACCAACCACTGGTCACGATAAATACCAAGACCACAACCAGGCAGTTTGAACCTACAAACATTGACTTACATACATAGTCAATGATTTGATGGACTGAAGTTAAGTCTTAACTTGATCACTTCTAGCTTTTTACCAAAGTGCTTCTATATCAGCAAACGTCGAGCGTCGAGGAAGACAGTAAGTAAACATACGTAATAAACGTCCGAACCACCCCCAGTCAATTCATACCATATCAACGGATATGTCATCGCTCTCCATTACTTTACGTCTAACTTCAGCATTGTTCACCCGATGATCCCAACATATATTATATCCTAGTGAAGATTATATTACTAGCAACGTCTGAGACTTATTAATGGACTATTATTATTTATATATTCTCATGGTATAAATATTCGGTAACTAGATTATCTATATCTATATTCCCCTTGTTATAAGCTTTATTTTAACCTATAATTTATTATTGTACGATTTACCGTTCTTAAGCTATGTTCAGTTTATTGACTACTGCCTCCCACATTTACAGCCATCTTTTGGCTTTATTGTGTACAAATGTTATTTCCTATTTTATGGTGCGTTGCGGTCTGTTTGATTGATATATAAGCCCAGTATGTCTGAAATAAAATATTCGATTTGCATATTGGAAGCTGGTATTTGGTGTTCTGGACTCAAGTGGACGGGCTATGCGGACATAGGACCAATAAGGACGCTAGGCTGCTCATACCGGTCGAACGTCATTGGTTTGGCACAGTGCTGAGATTGTATAAGTCGTATTTTGATTGGTGGATAAATAACGTAATAAAAAGCCGGACATAAAGTCATAACACATAAGCGACAAATGAGTCAAAGACACTCATGATTAAAATCCTGAGCCCCACCCTTGCCTTCAACTTTCAGAAGCCATGTTTCCCAACGATACAGTAATACATAGTTAACTGTTACACAGTATACTCGGCCTTTAATAGGAAGATGAACATCTTGCCTATATTGTAATTCAAGAGAGACTCTTAAATTTGTGAAGAGCTTAAGTCAGACAGTAACCAGCTGAGGTTGATGAGACTTTCAGTAGAATTAAAGTTGCCGATGCGTTCGACTAACCCATTTCCAACTATTATTTTATATGATGACGTAAACCAGTGCAAATTCGAGTCATCGTTTCTAACCTCAACGTATTTGTATTTTCTTTTTTTTTGAGTTCTCATTGTGATTTTTGCGTATGACAAGAAATGGACTGATATATTGTTGTAATTGTTATAACTTGTCAATTGAATGCTGATTGTCTTGGCTCTTTCTTTCTATTATATCAGTATTAGTTCAAATAATGAAAGAATCAATACGCTATTGAATGTATCAGTAAAAGATAATCAAAACAGTAAACTTCTATGAAATCAAAGTTTAGGATTTAATTACCACATACGTAAGAATTTGATTATTTTATAATATATAAATATTGAATATGATAGACTATCTTAATCAACAATAAATAGTACTTACTTCTGCTAATTGTACAAGTATTTGTTTATTTTGATTCAATTTAGCATTTAATTCTTGTTCGGTCCAACGACTTTCCAATGATTGACGTTCTAATTCTAAGGCTAGAAGATTTTCTTCGTTTCGTTTTTTAGTATAATTAGTTAATGATGATGATGGTGTTGCTGTCTGGAGATAATTAAAAATAAACAGATGAATTGATAGAAACTGATCATTATCAGAATGGGCGATTGCGGAGATTGAAGTAATTTCAATAGAAGAATTCATGAATCTTTAGTAGCTTAAGATCGTATGATTGATTGCTATTGACATATAAATGTCGCCAATCCTCGTATATAATTATCGACTTAACTCACGTTGGTGAATAACGGAATCAAATAAGTCAAATACGAGAATGAATTTCGAATACTTATATTTCGTACAATTGTTGGTCGAGACAAACGATCGAAAGAACGAAGCATAGAAAGGGAAGCGAAATGACACTCAGTGGAGAAGGCGTGTGAGCCAACACCCTTTAATCGAGTGTTAACCAATATTTATAGCCATATAAAAATAGGTTACGGACATGTGATAAACAGAATAAGACATGTGCACACACATGCGCTCATATAAAAACAGTCATGATTGATAAGCGAATAACTAACAAGGTCGAAACGTAACTCAAGTAGAATGGATAAATTGGTCTGTCCAGAAGCTAGATAAAGGTATATGGACTTAACATAGCAACCGACACTACAAATCAATCTAAGCTAGACCACCATTGAAAAATTGAATTTCTTGGAGTTCTAGTGAGAAGCCATAACCAGTGGAGTCCAATCCGTGTCGGGCGGATAAAGTTATTCATCACAGACAATGAACGAAGTTTGTGCAATATCATGGGTTGAGTAAAGTTAGATAATAACACCGTTGGATGCCGGCTCAATGGTCTACAGGTTAAGTGTTCGCGTGTGAGACTGAAGGTCTTAGGTTCGACTCCCTATGAAACTCCAGTAGTTCATGGAATTATCATCAAATCTTATGATCTCCCTCTTCAGCAGGTCTAAAGCTTTAGATATCATTGTTATCCAACCCTTTCGAGGAAGAATATCAACTGTACGTGAGACAGATGTAGACTCATACGACATACCCTTGTCAGCCACAACTTGATCATAATGTTCACTCCCCTTTTGACGTAAACGTTCTAACTCAATTTCTCTTTCTACCTGAGCTAAACCTGCTTTATCTAGTTCCAGCCCCAACAGAGGTTCTATTCGGTAGCCATTTCTTCTAAATTGGTCGTCACTATGAATTCCTGAATAGTGAGGAAACAATTTAGGAATCTGATCAGTCTTATGATTCTCCGTAGACATTTAAGAGTACTCAATGTATGGATTTTTGATTAATTGACTGTTCGAAACTTTGTAAGAAATTACTTCCTACAGTAATAGCACGTATTAAAATAGTCATAGAAGATTAAAGAAATAGATGGATACTAAACTGTTTGTATGGTATACCACAAAATTTGAATTTGCATTGAATTAGAACTGTGTCTAAAAGAAGTTACATAATTTGAATGACGTTTACTTCAACATTACATAATCAAGTTTCCTTTCTGTATTGGAAGATATCTAATCTGTACTGTTGTATTTTCGGTATTCAAAAATTCACTGACCAGCTAACTACTTATGAACTAGTCAAGATAAAAATTATTTTGAATAATTACAAAAAAATAACAAGTGATGTTGTGGTGTGTGCTACTTATATTGATATAAGTAGTATATGACGCGAGTTAAAAACGTTATGTCTGGGCAGCAGAAGATGGAGGAAGACCAAGAAAGGAAGAGTGAGAACACCATGCAATTTGTAAGAAAACGCATGAACAATGAAGTGTGAGACAATGGATTGATGTTTGCAGCAGGAACAGTCCAGGTTGATATGATGAATTGATATTTTGCAAATTACCGATTTGCTATATGGTTTTTCTAGTTTACCAAGTAACTCTGTAACTTTGTGCTAAATACATTCCATTGTCCCCACCCGTGTTCTTGTTCACTAAAATATATGTAGTTAACTCAAAAAAAATTATTCACTGTTAATAGCATAAAGAAAATTGGTTCTAACAACTGAATTGAAGTTTATGGGACTTACATTGTTGGAACAACTTTGCATATTTTGTTCATTCATTTGATTAAAAGTATTATTCTTATTTGTGGAAGTGTAATTACTAGCCACATTTTCATGATTCATAACAACATTATAACATTTCATTCCTTCTTCTGAAAATAGAAAAAGGTCAATAATATAAATAATTTATAATTAAACGAAAAATTTTCTTTCAGCATTTTAATTATAATAAAATAAATATCTCTAGGACGTAATTAGACCAAGAAATTAATACATTCACGATTGACAAACATATTAGTTATTTTTTGATGGAGTTTTGTTCTCTGAACTGGATGGTTTGGTCATGGAGCATTCATCATTCTTCTGAACGACATCATCAGCACAAACTTCAGGTAAAAGTGAAGTGTTCGAATTTCTCCACATGTGGTTCACAGCTTGTCTTATACACCTCGATGTTGATTGGTTTTTGTTGTATCAACCAATGGAAGATACAACCAAAACAAAGAAGTAAACAATGATAGGTTTAAGGTCAACAAGAACCAATCAATATCGAGGTGTACAGGACAAATTGTGAACCATATGTGGAGAAACTCGAACGCTTCACTTTTACCTGAAGTTTGTGCTGATGATGTCGTTCAGAAGAATGATGAATGCTCCATGACCAAACCATCCAGCTCAGAGAACGAAACTCCATCAAAATCATCCACCTGAGCTACAAATCTTCTTCACCATCTTAATATTAGTAACTGCATACACTCTTGATGGTAATCAGTGATGCATATGAAACAGATTGCTTACTTACCCACTTACTTACTTACTTACTTATTTACGCCTGTTACTCCCAATGGAGCATAGGCCGCCGACCAGCATTCTCCAACCCACTCTGTCCTGGGCCTTCTTTTCTAGTTCCATCCAATTCTTCATTTTTCTCATGTCTATCTCCATTTCCCGGCGTAATGAGTTCTTTGGTCTTCCTCTTTTCCTTTGCATGGCTTTGAGGATTCCATGTGAGGGCTTGTCTTGTGACGCAGTTGGGTGCTTTCCTCAATGTGTGTCCTATCCAATTCCAGCGCTTCTTTCTGATTTCTTCCTCCGCTGGGATCTGGTGTGTTCTCTCCCACAGTACGTTGTTGCTAATAGTGTCCGGCCAACGGATCCGAAGTATTTTGCGTAGACAACTGTTAATAAACACCTGTATTTTCTGGATGATGGCTTTCGTAGTTCTCCAGGTTTCTGCCCCATACAGTAGGACTGTCTTGACATTTGTATTGAAAATCCTGACCTTGGTGTTGGTTGACAGTTGCTTTGAGTTCCAGATGTTCCTCAGTTGTAAATATGCTGCTCTTGCTTTTCCGATCCGTGCCTTCACATCTGCATCAGATCCACCCTGTTCATCAACGACTTTGTCAACTGTCCTCCATGCACGATTTTGCAGTGTAATCCATCATATGAACTCTGTATGATATTGACTATCTTCTGGGGTACGCCGTAGTGTCGAAGAAGTTTCCATAGTGTTGTTCTGTCCACGCTATCAAATGCCTTTTCGTAGTCAATGAAGTTGATGTAGAGTGATGAATTCCATTCAATTGATTGTTCCACAATGATCCGTAGAGTTGCGATTTGGTCTGTACACGATCTATCCTTATGGAACCCTGCCTGTTGGTCACGAAGTTGGGCGTCTACGCAGTCCTTCATCCTGTTCAACAATATCCTGTTGAAGACTTTTCCCGGTATTGAGAGAAGAGTGATGCCCCTGTAGTTATCACACTTGCTGAGATCGCCTTTCTTCGGTATTTTGGTCAGAAGTCCTTCTTTCCAGTCTTTTGGTACTTGTTCCTCATCCCAAATCTTATTGAAGAGAATGAGGAGTATCCTTGCAGTTGCCGCTACGTCTGCTTTTAGTGCCTCTGCTGGGATGTTGTCCGGTCCTGCTGCTCTGCCACTCTTGATTTGTCTGATGGCCATGCTGATTTCTTCAATTGTTGATGGGCCAACATTGATTGGGAGGTCTGTGGGTGCTGCTTCGATATTGGGTGGGTTCAGTGGAGCTGATCGATTCAAGAGTTCTTTGAAGTGTTCTACCCACCTGTTTCGTTGCTCTTCAATGTTGGTGATTACCTCGCCTTCCTTGTTTTTCACTGGTCGTTCTGGTTTGCGGCGATTTCCAGAGAGTTTCTTTGTCGTGTCATACAATTGTCTCATGTTTCCTTCTCTTGCAGCCTTTTCCGCCGTCGTTGCTAAATCTTCCACATGTTTACGTTTGTCGGTTCTGATGCTCCTCTTCACTTGTTTGTTTACTTCTGTGTATTCAGCTTGTACCTTGGCTTTTTCTGTTCTTGTTCGACTGGTATTGATTGCTGCCTTCTTGTTCCTCCTTTCTTGAATCTTATCCAGTGTATCAACAGTGATCCATTCCTTGTGATGGTGCTTCTTGTGACCCATGACCTCATGACATGTTGAAGTGATTGCCTCTTTCATCCCCTTCCAGTTTCTCTCCACAGTAGTTCCTTCTCCATTGAGTAGATCATGAAAGGCCTGGAACTTGTTGCTGATGACTATCTTGAATTTGTCGAGTTTGTTAGTATCCTGAAGAAAGGCCGTATTGAACTTTTGTGATATTGTCCGCCCTGTTGTCAAGTGCTTCGTGAGTTTCAATTTCATCTTGGCGACCAGCAAGTGATGATCTGATGCTATATCAGCTCCTCTCTTGGTTCTCACGTCCTCTATAGTCCTCCTGAACGTTTTGTTGATGCAAATATGGTCAGAATGGGTTTTGTGGAGATTTTAGAAATTTCACAGATTGAAATCATGAGTCAGTTGAAGCTAGACCACTATTGAAAACCTGGAAGCACTGGATGGCCGTTTCGTCCTAGTATGGGACTCCTCAGTGGTCTAGTGGTTAAGTGCTCGCGCGCGAAGCCAGTAGGTCCTGGGTTCGAGCCCCGCGTGGTGCGGGATCGTGGATGCGCACTGCTGAGGAGTCCCATACTAGGACGAAACGGCCGTCCAGTGCTTCCAGGTTTTCAATGGTGGTCTAGCTTCAACTGACTCATGATTTCAATCTGGCAAATATGGTCGATTTGGTTTTGTGTAGAGTGATCCGGTGAAGTCCATGTGGTTTTGTGTATGCGTTCATGTGAAATATGGTACCGCCTATGACCAGTTCATTGAAGGCACATAGATTTGCAAATCTCTCACCATTTTCGTTCCTTTCTCCCAGTCCGTGTTGTCCCATGATGTCTTCATATCCAGTGTTGTCCGTTCCAACCTTGGCATTGAAATCTCCCATCAGAATGGTCAGGTCCTTTGTTGGGCACTTCTCGATGATTGACTGCAGCCTATTGTAGAATTAATCTTTAGCGTCTTCATTGTAATCGTTAGTAGGCGCATAGCATTGGATGATGTTCATTGAAATGCCCTCTTTCTTTGTTTTGAAGGAGGCTTTGATGATCCTTGGTCCATGAGATTCCCATCCTATAAGCGCATTTTGCGCTTGTTTGGACAGCATCAATCCAACTCCTTGTGTATGTGGAGAATTTTCTTATTCATGGCCGGAGTATAACAGGAGTTCTCCTGAAGTCAGTCGTTGTTGTCCAACTTGTGTCCAATGTGTTTCACTGATCCCAAGCACCTCTAGGTTGTATCTTCTCATTTCTGCAGCAATTTGGAAGGCTCTCCCGGTGTCCCACATTGTACGAACATTCCATGTACCTAAATAAATGGTCGCTCTGGTTGTCAGAAGGGGCATCGGCCTCGTAACTTCCGAAGGACTTCGACTTTCATTATGAGGCGTGATAGTTCTGTCAAATGAAGACCTTCTGACTCCCGGGGCAGAGTTTAAAAGGTTTGAATAATTTTTACTGGTTAGCGTTTTTTAGCGAGTTAGTTTTCTACGGGATGAGGACGCTAACCCCATGCCCAACCCTCCTCCTTTATCCGGGCTTGGGACCGGCAGTAGCCCCCGGAGGGACTTCAGGCGGAGTTATGTGAAACAGATTAAGATGGATGAAATACTGCAAGTTTATTTCATGTGTTTTTTGGTTTAGCTTCTTAGTTTGTCTAGGTAGTAGTTTGAACAGTTCAATTATTTGATATGAATCAGTTTAGTTACATCGCTAAAAGAGAAGACCTCTTTTAAGAAGACAGATTGTTAACAGTTTGTTTACAGTGCTCAGTACAAACGTAACCTAAGTATACTGATGGGTTCATTCTTTGCGAATCAGCACTTATGAACGAATCCAGAAACGTACAACAAGCTCAGGTAACAAAAACCGCAAGTAATCACGACATTTAGTACTCCCAAGTCACATTACCTAGAACGACCGACATTCCATGTTGATTTCCAAGCAGATGTAATTCATAGAGTTTTTGATTTCCTGTACCACTCAAACCAAAGATCAAAGACCATATGAAGTAGTTCTCTTGCTCAGCATAGTCAATTATATGCTACTCTTTTAACCTCCTTTTACTTTATCTAACATACCATATCAAAGTAGACGATGATTGGGACACCTTTCTCATTCATAACCATTTAAGAGGTAACCGATATTAACAGACTCAATTTATGACTCTATAACTACTCCATAACATACAACTTCAGAATTCAGTTAGTTTCACCGAACATCATGAAAAAAATGCACGACTCCAAGCTGACTGAGCATGCGAATGTGTACTAGGTAACTAAAATTCACTACAATTTCCCATTAGCTTAGCTTACTTCCATTACACACATGAAGTGCAGTTTGAAAATATCCATCAAGAAATATTTGTAGCTTAAGTATGTCTAACACTCTTAGTAGTCATATTTTAAATGCGTCATTTAAAGAGTAAAATACTGTCTCCAGCAAACATTTGAATATCACTCCAATACTGTAAGTCGATTAATTTGAGACGATAGAATTATTTCAATAATTCCTATTGGATGATAACACTGAATTCTTAATACATGACAATCACAAGTCAATCTGTAAAGTTATATAATAAAGAGAATTTGTGAACTATATAAGACAAAAATATACCTATGAATATGTAATATGAAATAATAGAAAAACGGAGAAAAATACAAGAAAAATAAATTAATACTTTTAGGAAAATATACCTTGAGATAAATAATCCATTATTGATGTCAGTCCCAGTTTACATATATCTAGAAAAGAATAATCAATATAAAAAGTATATATTCAATCGGAAATACATAACTCTTTGCCCTCTATATTATTATAATAAAATTTCAGCAATACTAATAAAGAATAACTGTGCAATATCATGGATTGGATGTCAACTTAGAGGTTGATCTAAGGTTAAACACACCTCGCGAGACTTGAAGGATCTGGATTCGATCCTCAGTGGTTAGGGTTATGCGTGTGCATTGGTCAAAAGTCTTATACTAAGGTTAACAAGTTATCCAGGGTTTCTTGGTTTGTAATGGTCAAGATCAGTCCGTGATGTAAACTATAAAATTCAAAAATCCCCACAAAACCCTTATAGTAATAATAATCATGTGCTCACTAGTGACTAAATTTGAGAGGTGATTCCTGATGTCTCAGCGAGAAGCCGTGAATAGTGAGGTTCAACCATGTCACGTGTAAACCGTTAGATGCTGGGTTGATGCTCTGCAATAATAATAGTACGAAGAAAAAAAGAAGGGAGTTTTCCTACTTTCCCTATTAAATGAATTTTCGAATGACATAGGTCATAATCAATATAAAAGTTCACTAGTTTGACATGTAACAATGTCTATTAGTTTATATATGCAACATTTCGACCATTGTAGCACAGAAATTATGGATTTTTAAATGTAGAGACATAATCAATTTACTGAAAACGATAGTTTGCTCGAGTACCTCTAGCAGTTAATTACTCAATGCGGAATCTTTCCAGATCGTTTTACTCTTCAAAAAGAAGAAAAACATGTTCATAAGTTGTACTGGAGCCCATATGGTCGGACCTTATTATTAAAACATTAGTATTGTCTAGTCAAATTATTGATTAGTTCGCTCTAAGGATGTAGGCCAGATGAGCTATTTTATCAATATCTGAATGAATAATGAATAAATACCAAGACCTTAATGTTTGTCAGTCGTCCGACTAATTAATATCCAGTATCCAATCAAAAGAAGAAATTAGCAAACAGATAAAATCCTTATTTCACGGCTGTTTCCATATATGACTGGACTCATACAACAATATGGTGTAATATTCTGTTCACACACCAACATAAATAAGAAATAAGTGCGCATAACTACACAGTATGTGTAAATGAAACTATGTGACTGGTCCATAATAGATTAACAACAACCTCTTGCTCCAATTACTTCAATATTCTGACTAACTAGATAGTATCAAACTAGCCGTTCAAACAAACAGTTTGACTCAAAATTTGTATTTAACAACTGAATTACATTAGCTATTTTCTTTTTAATGAACAACATTGAGATTTCATGAGATTACACCCACCTGAAGTAGGATATTGTATATGATCGCAGGAAAGAGTTAATTCTTTCAAATCTTTCAAATAGCACAATTGTTTAGGTAAAGATGACAAAGGATTATTTTTCAAATAAAGTTTAGTAATATGTTGTAATTTCCCAAAATCTGATGGTAATTCAGTAAGACGATTATCTGTAGAATAATTAAAATAAGTTTTCTTGACAAAATTTGAATATATTTTTGTTTCTTATATCTTGAAAGTAAAAGATTTCTGAGTAAACGATGTTATAACTACGACCTTGAGCGGTTTATTACGCAACCAGAAAAGTGTTTAGTTTTGAAGCAATTTGTGACGAACAGTAATAAAATTGCAATGGGATAAACAACTTTTATATGATAAATAAATAAAAATCTGTTAGGATTAAAACATAGGAGCCCAGGTAGGAGTCGTGAGTTACTATTAGGAATGTTATTGTTAGAAGTCCGGGTTAAGAGTGTTAAGACTGGGAGTTAGCAATGAGGATTAAGTTAAGGGTTAAGATTGTTAGAGTTAGAGAGTTTGTTTACCCCTAAAACACGTTTCTCTATGCTTTGGATCACTTTAATTACATTCAGATAGTCTGCATTAGGAGCATGTGTTTCTTGTAATTCAGCGTACACTCCACTTTGCATTCACTACATAGTCGCACAAAAGATACTTTTAACAGTTTCAAGTATTTGGGAAACTGAGTATAGACAATTTTACTGGCTTTTCAGTAAGATATATGTCATCTTTCACTGCGTTTTGTATTTTGAACATACTCTAATAGACGTCATCTTAAATTTGATTGGTTCCCTGAATATTATTATTTTAATGCGGTTCAAACGATTTTTGACAATAAAACAATAAGATTTATTTAATTAAAAACAACTGAAATATTTTTAAGTACAATGAATATTGAGTGAAAGTTTGCTTACAAATCTACAGTTCATTATTGAGTATCGAACATTTTGTTAAGTTAGTGGAACAATATTTACTTAACCTGAAATATTCGCTTATAATCTTACTTAATGAGAACGAAAGAAGGAAATAATAATAAGCAACGTTATATCCACCGTATAAGTTAAAAGTTGCAGTGACTGTCACTAAATTGATAGTGAGTTAACTTTTCAAGCGACAAATGCTTGGTTTCGCATCTGTGTAAACAAAAATACTGAGATGCAACCTCAAATCAGATGGGACCTGAGTTCAATACTATGCATTATCTAAAATGCTTACAATTAACTTGTAGTCACAGAAAATATCGAGGCATTCACTCAAGGAACAAACATACCAACAGAGATTGGTTAGATGTAATCTCGAATACCAACAACGGGAAAACATAAAACCCATATACACACAAGAAAGAATATCACTCTAAGGACATGTGTGAACAACACTGGGAGAAAATAGTATAGCGTAAAATTATCGTGAAAATCTTTATATTTCAATTTACCTTCAATGTTAAGAAATAAAAGTTGAGAAAGAGATGTGATGGTAGATGGTAATGTTGATAATAGATTTTTTGAAGCATTTAAAACCTAAACATATAATTTTAGGCTATTAATTTTACCGGAAACAATATAATCAAAATATTACCTGTAAACATTTCAACTCAGAAATATTATTAGGTAATTGTTGAAATTCATTTGAACTTATATCAAGCAGTACAATATTTTGAAGATATGTTAGTTTACCACCAGAATCAAGTTTTTGTAAGGAATTTTGTTGTAAATATAATTTTGTCTTTAGTAAAACCTTAACAAGTGAAAAAGTTCCTTCAGGAATCTAAATATTAATTGTAATCCTATCAAATATAAAGTATATATATTACCATTTTAAGTTCACACGAAGACAGATCAAATATATCATCTGGACATTCTCGAGCCTAAAATTTATACAGATATAGAAAACAGAATAGGTATACAATCTCAAAAAGAAAATATTTGTAAATATATTACGAAATACTAAGAAATAAAAACACACTTAGAAAACTGGCAGCCTAATTTTAAAAAATTTAAACAAATATTTCTAATATCTCAAACGTATTCTCCACGTATATAGCTTAATAAGAAATACTTGACACAAAAATAATTGAGTTCAAATCACTACACTTACAAATAGTACAACACAGAAAGTACATATAAAATGAGGAAGGTATTCAAGTCAACAAGAAAAATTTATAAGTATGATAGATTATTATCAATTCATTTACCAGGTACAGGCTTGTATACTTGACTTGAAGCTAAATTCTAAGTGTGAGGGTTAGTAGTGATAGTACCCAGTCAGTCGAACCGAAATAGACGGGAGTAGCGTTGGTACAGACTACATAGTGGCTGAGAGTTCAACACCCCGACTACTGAGCCACTGCTTTTCTGATAAGTATGAAGAAACCATTTGTCTGAAGTTCAAACGATGATTTTAATTAGGTGAATGTTTTATTTATTTATTTGAACACCTTAACTTCGGTACAAGGGGGCACCAAATACACATGCACCATACAATAAAAATGAGGGTTTGAAAAGACAATAATAATTATTATTATTACATAATTATAGGAGAGGCAGATCAGTTAGGAAAAATATAACCAGAAAGTTCTATTAATTAGGGACGTTACACTCATTTTTATGAAGTGAATGAAAATTGCAGAAGGATAGCCGTTGGATTCTATCCTGAATCATATCTGATAACGTCTCAAGCCACTGTGTTGCACCAATTTTAGGACCCAAACCAAAGAGTCGTGACGGACCAACAGATGACAGTCCTGTACAGCTTAATTTCATACCACGACACCATGCGTTTACTAAATTTCAGAATTCACAAGAGGATTATTTTGATTCGTCATAGCAACACAGCATAGGAAAAGCGATATTGCTGAAATTTTCTTGTGTTAAACTTAATTTTTAGTGAAGCTTTTTTTCGTCCAGATTATAATTTATGGACGAACCAGCCAGATATAAGATGACAGGTCTTGGCGTGAAATTCATTTGCCCATCTAGCTGTAAAGCGTCTTGGCATTTTAGCTGATGTCAGTTCGTGATGAAAACTCTAAACCTAGCTCTTAATTATCAACTGTAACCTATAGTTCTAATTCCTCAAACTGCTTTATAAGTTATTTAGTCCTAGTTATTAAATGAAAATTCTCAGAGTCACTTCAGCATCGATCACAGGTTGTTCACAAAGCACAGTCTCACCGTTTTTTTTGATGAACTGACTTTCTGACGTGCACGTGACACGTTTGAACTAATGAAGCGTACTTCGTGAGGGCCTGTTCGGTTTCATATGCACTTATTAGTGAGGACATAAATAGTCCATCATCTGTAACTTCTTTTGATTGTCGTAAATGACAAATGTACACTGAACTTACAATTAAAATACGTAACGAGCATCTGGCTATCAATAGACAGATCAACAGTTGTTGATCTCTCAATAAACTTTGATATTATTTCTCGTTAATAAAAATCTTAATTCATGTATCATTTTTTAATGTATTTGACAGCATTCATCGTGTTATACGATGGAAATAAAGGTGAACATATGAGACACTTGGGACTAGGCGAAAAGATCATTCGGTGGTATCTCAGACAGACAGCAACAAAAAGGAGAAATCCCGCATTATTTTTATGCGTTCCTCCTTGATTTTCTGACGGAATTCACATTTTATTTCCTTTTATTCGCCTTTATTTCCCTTTTACTGGTTACTTGAGCTACATTAATGTAACGATTTATAAATCGACATATCGTTTATATTGAAATCAATGCCATCAGTTTCAATTGAATTTCTCATTTTAGGTAGCATTTGGTTTAAACCTACGAGGTACATTTTTTTCTCGAGCAACCGCCTCGATCCATCAGATTGCTTTTTAGAAAACATCAGTGACCTAGAATCGTAGACACCTTAACTGAAAATCCACTTCTCAAATGTATTCACTATTCACCACGTTCAAAGAAGTACTTAACTGATATAGAAAGTAAAATATTTAGGCTGCTTTCATGTGTAAGTCATCGAAGCACTTCGAAAATGCTCAGTGTAATATTGAAAGTTAGTTTTTTAGATCTTACCTTTCATGAATCACAAATGCCTTGATATAACCCACTCGGGGTCTCACTTTGTCCACTTGTATGTTTATTTATTAATTTTTTAATCCCACAACTGTGTGATTGATATATTGAGGACTTTTTTTTTATCAAAAACTAAGTGAGTTCAACGTTCTTACTCGGTTGTCAAACTAGATATTTTCTCACCTTTTCTTACCAGATTCTTTACATATGGATCTAAAGAAGCTACTATAGCACATAGTGAAGCCTCAGAATAAACCTAAATCTACCAAAAGCTAGATCTCTCAATGATTCCACAACAATTTTTAAAACTTCTTCACATCAATTAAAATTAGTTACAAGTACTACATAACAAGACATCTTTTCAGAACCGAAAAAGAAAAGGCTTGCAGGAAAATTTGTTCAGAATTTCATGTGGTCGAAAGTAGTAGACTACGAAACGTCTCATCAAAAGTAATAGGGCTGGAACTTAAGTAGAATCGTTTGGAAAAAATTGGTGTTTCGTTTTTCAGTAGCAAGCATAGTATGTCAGTGCCCCTAGTTAATCCTGACAGTTTGACTTCCGGTGAAGTTCCAGCTTCTTCATGAAGATGTCCGCTGATGAGGCTGATACAACTTGTCTGGGTAAGGCGTCTTAGTCATTAACTACTCAATAAAAATAAAGAACCCCACTTTAAGTTTATCAGATCGCTGTTTGTGAACTTTTTTGATATGACCTTAGAGATTATCAGAGCTGGAGGGAGCAAAATAATAAGATATATTAACACCCGGATCGTAATTAAAGATACAAAATGGCAGTAAAAAGTCACTGAGCAACCCGGGGTACGACAAGGGGAAAAGGTTTAGGCATTTTAAGTGCGTCTTTATGTTCCTGAACGTGCCATTAATAGTATACTGGTAATTATTACCGTGTACGACGTGCATGAGTACACTCTTCCTAGAAATAACTTCTAAGCCTCAACCTTAAGCCCATCTGGTTAATTCGTTTTGGTCAACTTGGAGATCTAAATGATCAGCCTCAATTTTATTGTTCTCCGGATTTTGACATTATTCGCAAACAATAATGTCGACGACTTAAGCAATCACGGCATTTTATTAACGTAGAGAAGAAAGAGTAGGAGACTTGATATAGTGCATTGAGGTACATCACTTTTGACCAGCTTCCATTCGGATAACGTTCCATTAACCTGCACTTTCTGTCTGTGATCACACAAGAAGTTTTCTCACCATTCCTGTACATCACCTGTTATCACGAAGCTCGAGAGATTCTGCATATAACCTTTTTATGAAAACTTGTCAAACGCTTTGTTAAAGTCTATGAATGTCACATTGACAGACAGACCGTTATCTAGGGATGCCGTCTATTCCCCTCTCGCAATAAGTTAGTCGAGCATGAATGCTTGTTTCAAAACCCGTGTTGCTCGGGAGTTAACAAATTGTAAGAATCTATGTGACTTGGCAAGTTAACCGGAATTATCTTCTCAAATAAATTAAGGACTATGCTGGTAAGACTGGAAAGTCGGTAGTTAGATACGATTTGTCTCTGACCATCCTTAAATATAGGACTGACCATAGCGTCTTTCCAATCTAGGAAGTTGAGCCAGTGAAAAGGATATGTTGAAGGGCATCGCGAGTGATCTTGAAATGATGTCCGCGAGGGATGACGGTAGTCGTGGATGTAACCCATCAGAGCCTGACATCTTAAAGTTTTGAGGTTAGTGACCAATAGAAGAACAGTTTCCTCAGTCACCTGTACAGATTCAATGGATGGTATCTCAGTGTGATTGGGATAAGTATTTGTAACAATACACGTAGAGTAGACTTCGCTAAAATAGTTTGAAAAAGTCTCAGCTTTTGCCCGATATGGTTCAGCTAGTAAATCCGGGCCCTCTCTTTTCAAAGACCACAAATTCTTCAAAGCTTTACTCCTTCCCGTGCATTATGGTCTTATCGGCGACTTCCACCCCCTTATTCTGTAATTCTATTGGCAAACATGAAACTATTATTTCCAAATTAGCCGTAAAATTAACATCAGACATGTAGCCCATTTCCTTCAACATCATACATACATTACGTAGCTTAATCGCGAATTCGGTTAAGACGTCAGCTGATCCTCTAACAGATTTGTGACTCAATAAATCAGTAACCAGTTCTCATACAACAAGGTGCTCCTTACCAAATAGGTCATATAAAATTCGTTTAGCTCTATCATAACCCAAATTACTGGGCAAAGAATTGTAAGCTTCATTAGTCGTCCTGATCTTTCCTTTGCAATCATATAACAAATACGACAATATTTAGACCTTTTCGGACAGCTTACTTTCAATAATGATGCTAAACTGACTAATAAAACGGCAGGAGTGACTTGGTTGTCCATCAAAACACATATCAACATTATGTAAAGACATATTATTAACCATAGTATGTAACATATCCTTCAAGTCATCAACACAGTCGCCCTTAGAGATGCTAAGTATCTCCCTTGAATGATTAGTACAGACAGTATATCAATCCAAATTCCTTTCCACTTTAGCATTTTTCTCACATTTGTCTATGGGCAGCTGGTGATCGTCCTCTATGACCTTACATTCTTATTCAGCCATATCAAACACTTCTTGGAGATCTAACATCTTAAGCTGCCATTCTAACCCAATTCTCTTTTCTAAATTCTTCTTCCTCAGTAATGTCCAAAAAATCTAAGGTATGAAGACCACAGAACCAAAAGCTGAAGAACTTTATGTTACGCTCAAGTTTCTTCTCGTTCCCGTTATTGAAGCACGGTATATCCATCACAGTTCACTCGCGATTTACAAATAGTCGACTTAAATGTCGTTCCTCAATTTAGTAGGTTACCGGAACGAAAACTCCTAACTACAAAACTAACGACAAAAAGAAACTAAAATGTCCAAAAGTAATGATATAAAGAAGCAAATCCAGAAGTTTATTAAAACAAATACATCCGAAAACATAGTAAAATTGAGACTACTTAATATAAAGGTTTTAGTCAGCCAAATGTCTTCAGTCCTCCCGTAACACTGATAGACTTAGTCCAAAAATTGTAGATTTGTTGTGATGTAATTGCCTATTCTATAAGATCTTTAGTGAAAGTCACATCATCGTCTATCATGATTCATCGCGTTGTGACAATTATCAATATATGATGAAAAACACATTTAGACTAAAGATAGAACAATATATCTAATATGGATAAGAACACGCCTGCAAAGCCGAGCCATGCCGTCCGATCAATTCGAATTAATTCAACTCTGTTCGTGCCTTCTCCATCGTTGGATTTTTCTCCGCGTTAAGTGTTGAATATTTATTTTCTCAGTTATTTCGTGTTCACTTTTTAGGATTGTGTGAGTAGGACTCTATCACCTTACACTACTCTCCAACCAGAATCAACATGATGTTGGTTCGATATCAAATTAGATCCGATTGTCGTGCGTCGGAGGTTAGTAAGAATAACAATAATCTTCCGTGTATTGACCAGCTGAAAAATAAACCAAACAAAAAGGCAGCAGCAACTTATACAAGGAGCTTAGAATCATACAATCCTGTCTGATATGATATCACAACTGGAGTTTTGAATGTGTGCACGGACTTTCTTTCCTTTTTCTTCTGGTTATCATCTTCAAGTGTTAATTGGCCAAAGATAGACTAACCACTGATATGCTTGAGGGTATTTTATAACAATAGTATGTTAGCTTCCTACCACGACCGATTTCTCTTATCTTTACAGTTACGAGGGTTGCAGAAATAGTTTCAAATTGACCCTCCTTGATTACCTACTTGATAACCCTTTAGATACCAACCTTCCAGTTACCTCAAGTTATTTGACAGGGTTGACCGTAACATCCTTCTCAGAAAGCCAAAGTTTGTAGGAATAAGTGTGTGTTTAACTACGTGGCTCTCATATAACCTAAACGGGAGACTATAAGCTGTCAGAGTTCCATCTGTACTGTCAGAGTGGTTTCAAATGACAAGTGTGATGCCACAAGGCTACCCCTTTCCCTATGGTTCACTAAGAACCGACCTAACTCTCTCGACACTCAGATTTCTCCTTAAGCAGATGATTCGATGATTCTTAGGGAGATTCCTGGTTTTTTAAGGAAACCCTTAATAAGATACTTGACTGGACCGACAAAATTTTCTCCTTTCCAATACTTGTAAATCCAGAATCCTAATGATGAACGGTAATGACATTTCGTTCACTTCACGATATCTGGGCGTTTCGTTTTTCACACCGTCTATCACTGTGAACGAATCGCGTGTTATTCTTTGTGATACTCTAGATGTCTTTTATCGAAAATGTACAACCAATGAGGCTTACTTCCAAATCAATTGTTTTGTCCCTTGGTTTCTAGGAGGGATATAAAAAGAACCATGTTTTCCCGCTGTCAAAACGTTCTTTTAATATAAATACTCATTTTTAAGTAAACGTTTGACGATTCTATTAAAAAACGTTTGAAATCCCGATATTTACAAAGATGCCACAAGTGTTGGGAGTTTGACTACATCTTCACCAGCAAAACCTTTTGTAATCGAAAAGTGCCAACTCAATGGAATGAGAAGCTAATTGGCTCGATGATATATTTTATAGAATATCAAGTTGGTTAGCGGTTGTAAGACAAGTGCGGCGTACTCACTGGTGATCTGGTACGGGTGCGTGATCGATCGACTTCAGCTGAGTCAGTCTATTAATACTAATGCGGCAGTGATTTTTGTACTTGTTGTGATTATACTTGCTTTGGGTACTTATTGAACCAAAAAGCATTCTTGGTCTACTTTAATTAAAAGTACTTTGGTTAAAGTTTGAATTTTTTGCTAAATCTTATCCTAGGTAAGTTT